TTTCGTGATGCAGTACAATTGCATATGTCCAGTAAGGTTTACTTCAATGTTTTATGTCAGATGTCTTTAAGGGTTTGCGATACAATTCCCGCGCACGTGTTCACTCATTCATAGTTTTTTGTATCATGATGAGAATATCTTAACAATTTTAGTAATTTCCAATCGAAGAACAAATGTACCGACAGGAACACATCTACATAAATGATTTTCCTGGATGATTAAGTGAGCAAGAACAATTGCAGATAGTAATATGTTATACACATTTTATGGAATTCTTGGTAGTTATTTTCCTTATCGACAATATGGCAAACGTGTCCCGTGTTGGTGGACGTGTTAACGATATTGAATCGAAAGCAAACTTTTTGTGTGAAATCTTTTGGTTGCCCTTTGTTCTTATTGCTGTAAATATGTTTATGATTATTTCTTCAAGTACAAACGTTTACTTTTATTTATTGATTACGATATTTCCTATTCATTACTTTCAGTTTTCTTAATTTACGACCGTATTTATATTGAACGGCTAAATGGTTTAATTGATTCCTAATACGTCCGGCCAAGCGTATAGTTTGATGAATGCAGATTGATGAAGACCGAGCATGTGTTATGATCATCCTCATTGAGAAACATGTCAAGGTCTTTGATTTAGATAAATGCATTTGCTTTTATCAATACATTTGTTGTATTGATTCGTTTTAAAAACGACACCTACTATTCCACATGTGGATGTAGTATTTACCTCCTTTGTTCTTAAATGTATATTTTGGACACTGGTGGACCATGGTACCAAAAGCATAGCCAGGGAGTAAATCACGGTTAGCAATACCGTTTAATAATTGTTTGCTATTTATAGATAGGTCGATGAAAGTGGCACTGATGCACAACAGAATGGATACAGGTAACGGAACCAGTCTTTACTGGCACATGAGACCAGCAGCTGACACAAGAAAGACACCAATAGTTGTAGATTGGAATCGAACGTTTGGAAAAAACAATCCTTACACTACAACTTATTATCCAACTCCGACTGAGCCACAGAATCAAGGTACAGCAGTTACTGTTACATATGTCCCATACAAGAACATCAATGAACTTGTTTTATGCCAATTGGAGATCGAAGGGTGTTGACAATGATAAAAATCCGTTAATATTATTGGACTTTCAAAAACTTGAAATAGATAAGTTTCTTGTTTTCGTCATTTAAAACTTTAAATGTTGCTTTGAATTATTGTATGGTTGTTTTGCATATATAGGAAATTTTTGTTTATATTGATATTAGTCAAAATCTAAAGGCATTCGCCTGATTAATGATTTCTGTTTCCATCAAATACAACTAATTTTACTATCAGACTTCAACCAACTTTTGTATTGCTTTACATTAGTGATATCTGAAGATTTGTCAAAATCCGTTAATACTTGCCAGACCTTTACTTATGAAAATAATAGTAAGTAACGGAATGAAATCAAAAGCCCACTTCTTTTGTAATGTATAGGCTTTATTTGTGTTATCCTCTAATGTTTGACCGCAAGTAGGACATAATTCAATTTCAAACGAATTCCGAATTTTTGGACTAAGATAGCGTTATATGACGTTTTAAAGAAATTTCGCTCGACGGCATAGTTGACTACGTGAAAAATCTTTAGTACATTTCAACTAAACTTTGCAAGAATGAACAACGCAAATAACAGATTTAAAAATTATGAATTCGACTTGGTGGACCAATTTGTATAATCCGATAACAAAAGTTTTTTTTTTCATTTCTCAGACGAGTACATCCTTGATTTGTAGTGAGTTCCGCAGTTTTTACGTCAATCAATGTCTTATACCCTTTTAGAAAATGCATCATTACTTTTCTCATGCATTCCTAACTGACTCTCATTTGATGTACCATATTTATTCATCTACACATTCGATGTATTATAAAACACTTTTTAGCTAAACTAATTTCCTAGACCTTCATAACTTGCGAATTTATCGTAGAACTAATTAAAACAGACTCGAAAGACCTTGCCAAGACCTTCAATGTTCCCTTGCACCTTGTATTATAAAAGGATTACTTTAATTTCCCAACTATGAATTCTCCTTTTCTGGATAGAGACGTTCCTGTTTCCCAAATCAATGATGTTCATATTTCACAAATGATTCAAAGGCCTGTTCCATTATAACGATATTCGTGGAAGACAGGTTTTCGAGAGAGTCATAACGACTGTCCTAGGGAATACTCTATTCCCCTGTGCGATATGGAGATATGATATCATTGCCTACTACGATTTACATGTCGAATGTCATCATTGAAAGAAAAATCTATTACCCTTCCGGAACATATGGTTTTATTTTCTACTACTTTTTCGAGATTTCTCTTTCTCTTTTTTTAAATATTTACTCTGTTTACATCAAATTCAAAGTTCTTGAATGAATGCAGTGTTGGCATGTCGGTTTTCTCTTTGATGTATTTAAATGTTAAAGGTATTTACCGAATAATTGTGTACTTTGATTAAATCTGTGCAGCTAAAATGTAACAAAATTGCTGTAAAAATTTAACGAATATTTTTATGACAGTTGTTTGCAATCACTTCTTTGAGTTAAATGTTTTTAACGCAAGAGTGACATAATCATAAGGCCTTATCACGATAACTGTCTTGCTGAAATTAATTCGTGAAAAGTCGTTCACACTAAACTAAAATGTAATTAATGACAAGTGTTTTTTGTCATCTGAGCGTTTTTTCGATTGAAGCTTGCATTTTTAGCATTATAAAGCCATCAAGCCCATTTTCTGCATAGAAATAATTCTTGTGCCAAATGATTAAATTCCGTAAATGGATTAAAATTTTATCAATCTTACTTCACACGTACATGCATACCAAGGATTACTAACGCATTTCTGCTTGAGAACAATGTCTACTATTTTCACCGGTAGGTCCAGTTCCGGTTATAATCCTGACGTACATGCGCAGCGGGTCTTCTTTCACAGGACAAATTCTACAGGCAGCCCCGTCAACGTTCTACTGGTTCGAACCAATGCACAATGTATTGAAAAATTTTTCACCAAATAGTTCATTCCGATTTCTGAACGGTGACAGTCAGTGAGTAAATCAAACTTAAAGATCGTTTACGTTTGGCTTTAATACAACTTTCATCGCAGTGTAAATTTCGCCCTGATGAAATAGGGCAAAGCAAAATGTAGATTCAAATTTGAATCAAAAGCTGAATTATTGGGGATAGAACATTCTGAAGTGTAAATTCAACACTGGTAAAAAGAACTTTATTGCGCAAGAAAACTGCCGATATAAAAACCTTATTGCATAAAGTTTTAAATAGAAAGTTTTAAGACAAATCGACAAATTGAAATTTTGGTCTCATTACAGAACTTTTCGTTCACCAGAGGAGATCGCAAGCTTAACGGCGAGGAGCATCGCCTCCTGTCAATTGGAGCGACTTCCGGTTAAGGTCCTAACTGATGGATTTATCAATCAAGGGAACAATAAGACATCACATAGCTTCATTTCGTGCTTAGCGACTTTCCGGAGATTATTATTTGATCCAGTTATGGCATTGAGGAGGTGTATACTTGATTACAAGGAAACCTGTCTACAATCAAAGCACGTTGTAATCAAAACAATTAGAATGAAGATGGCAAGCATGGAGAACATGTTGAGGAAATATCCTAGTTTAAAAGTTTTGCATTTGATGAGAGATCCGCGGGGTACAGTAAGGTCCCAAAAAAGGTACGGAGGATTTAGTAAAACTGAAACTGAAGCTGTAAACACTGCTTCTTTCTGCACAAGAGTTCTACGCGATGTTGTTGTAAAGGAAAATTTGCAAAGACGGTTTCCAAACCGAATTAAAACCGTTTTTTATGAAGAAATTGCTCAAAATCCAATAACTTACTCTAAAGCGCTTTATCAATTTTTCGGAATGGAATTTACAAATGAATCAGAGGAACGTATTTTACTCATGACTTCATCAGGAATTCAGCCCAAAAAGTGTGGGGCGTTGTGCATCAGTCGTCCGAATTCCTCGGCAGAAGCGTATGAGTGGAGACATCAGGTCTCCATTGACTTTGTCAAAATGGTTGACAATGCATGTGTTGAATTATACAAAAAGATAGGTTACAAATCTATCCCGAGTAAAAAATTACTCCTTGATTCAAGTTATCAACTGCGAAATTAAATCGTAAGATAGGATGGATTTAACGATAATGTGTCTTTTAAACATTTTAAACAAGAGAGAGAGAGAGAGAGAGAGAGAGAGAGAGAGAGAGAGAGAGAGAGAGAGAGAGAGAGAGAGAGAGAGAGTGTGTGTGTGTGTGTGTGTGTGTGTGTGTGTGCGTGCGCGTGTGTTGAAAGACCTGCATATATATAAACTATTGAAATGTTATTGGCAGAATGGTGCTCATGAAATGGTTGTAGAAAGGTGCCAGTAAGGTAAGTCTTTGAATTTCTCAAGTTTACTGAAGTATATCAATTTTAGCTGATACAGGCGATATAGTATGGTGATGAATTTAATTAGTCATTTGCACAGACAATGAGAAGGAAACTTGTTCAGAAGAGTGTGTCAACTCTGTTACAGAGACACTGTAGTCACTGTAATGTGCTGTACTGTAAATCTTACTCTATTTGAATAAATCTTTAGTTAAATGTTAATCGATTTAAAGTTATGACTCAGCCTACAAGAATAGAGGATGTGTAAAAAAAAAAAGACAAATTCAAACTGGTAATATTAATGAAAGGCGAGAAAAATGCAGTAAAATCATGTTTCTTAATGAAAAGCAGAATTCGTTAATAATATCCATGTTTACACTCGACTCAATGAAATATCACTGTTACCGTCATATATAAGAAATTAAGATTATCCTTTATCACTTTCTGACCTAGAGGTGACACGAATATAACCATATACTTCCTCAAATACATTTATATGAATTACAACGTTTAATAATGAACAAACTAATTTGTAAACAGCTGAAACAAATTGAAATTTTTAAATGAAACAAACGAAAGTCTGTTTAATAAAATTTCATTTTAATGCGACAAAAATGTTCATGTATAATTTTTATACACGGATTAAGATATTGACACTGCCTTTATCTAATTCAAAATCAAAGGAAGGGGTATATGGGGCATTAAGTGATGAGTATGATTGATGTTTTTATTATCTTTGTACACTGGGGATTAAAAAATACACATATTCTTCGGTAAATCTTACAACAATGTTATTCACCAACTTGTACATACTGTCGATAACATGTCATCTTTGTTTCATCTACAATAAAAAGCAGCTGGGAAGAACATGCCATATATTATTATCTGGATACATTTCTTTCGTCTACAGCTGTTCGTTATAAGGTACTTAATCCATGCCGCACAATAGTTGAAAGAGACAAGGAAAACGCACAGGAACTCCATTATGTGAAATCCGATTATATTTTCACAATAAAATGTTCTTCTGCTCGGACAGTTTTTATTTTTATGTATTATTGATAAATTCAACAAACCCATGTGTTCGTATGCGCATTATAATATTCTGATAGTAACTATAATATGAGCGATTATGTAACGTTCGATTTAACCGTTATGCTTTTATGGTATGGTGTTATGTATTGACTTGATCTTAGTCATTGGACCACATGCTATTGCCGTTGTCCTTTATATGTCTTTGTTTTTTCGCACATTCCTCTCCTTCATCCTCTCAGTAGTCGATAAATTAACTAAAATATATCCTTACACATTCTTCCACACCTCTTCAAGTGCCCGAGTCAGGTCCTTAATCCGCCCCGTTGTTTGCCCCTGCCGCGGCCTTTTTTCCGATGTCGGATTCGTTTTTTCTTGTCATTTGATCTTCCTTCTGAAATGAAATTGCGAATCACAATTAACAAGAAACCAGGACAACTTCCTCCTATCTAACGAGTGCTTGTATCGTCCTCATCTTATTTATACAACGAACAAAACCAGCGGTCGGTGCATGATGTCCTACTTATGAAGAAAAGTTCCTGAGAACAGCCTCTCTCGTATCAAGTTCGACCAGCAAGCCGGCACAGTTAACAGTTATTTAGTCTTCCTTCATCCTTAATCCAATCAGATATGATTACCCTATTGACACAAGAAACAACACAATTTGATTCAGGTGAAAAACATTATAACTGTTTTAACATCAAATGAAATATTTCATTTCTTGAAATAGATTACAATTAAATATGCTTGAAAATCTAATGTTTGAACTAACTGCCTGATTTTCGTGTTTTTTGGCTTTTCTTGCATGGCTTCTCAACCATGCTCCACGGTCTACAGCCGTCTTTAACCTGCTTCTTTGTGTTGAGTAAGGTGACGTTGAATATCCTCACACCTTCCGTGTCATCCTTACAAGAGTCTCGGATACGCTTACCCTTCCTCTTATATTTACAATCTGTAAATATACAAACGTTAAATAAGGGTTCCAAAGAGTCTTAGAAATGAATTTCTATACAATTTCTGGAATGAAATAAAATGCATTTGCTAAATAGTAATTATATATATTTATCTTATCTACCGGAATATATAGAATTATTCTGTTGTAAAGAAAGGGATGTAAATCTTGAATGTCATCCTTCACAGCCTGACTGCATTGTGGCAGCTCACCATACATGTTTCTGTGATTTCCTTTCCAGACAATGACATACATTCTTTGACGTCCCTACTTACTAATGCACTTCGCGTCTCTTCGGTTGGGCTCGAATACCTGTCCGCACACTTCCTCCGGTCCTGGGTTTTCTCCTCTTCTCACAACTAATGAAGTTGATAAATCACAAGGTTAGTAAATAACACATTAAACATGGAACACATGCAAATACGACAATAAAGTTGGAAAACCACGTTGAAGAAGTACAAAACTTATTGTACTATCTTATTCTATATTATATCATCTTATAGTATTTCGATCTTGCACATGTAGGAGATTGAGTTAAATGATCTCATGATGAAACAAAACCAAAGACAGGTACCTGAGAATAAGTCAATTACCTGCATTGTTATACAGCCGGTCTTGATAAGAGAATATTTGGCATGGCTAAACATCCTTGATTAATGGATATTATGATACAAGCAACTGGTTCAAAACGGACAATAATTTGAGGCGGTGTAGCTGTTTAACCTCTTGAGGCAATGATCTATATTTGCAGCATTTTATGCTTATTTACCGAAAGTTTTCATGGCATTCGTCAATTCAAATGAGAAATTAAGTGTGTTCCTGTAACGATATTTACATTTGAAGCAGATAACAAATCCAGATCCACCAATTCGCTTGCCAGTGTTGACTTCACCGATCTTTCTAAGACTAAGGACAACTGTTTTTGCATCAGGAAAGACATGAACACTGGGCCAGTCATTGTTGCGAAATTCAATTATGTTGTTGTTGGACTCAGCACGAAGAGTTTCAAACTCCGAGTGAAGATCCAAGGAGACGACGACCAGCGCTAGCTTAGTGAATCCACCTGGAACTCCAAGTAGGTGGGGATAGAAAGTCTTGTTACATTCCGTCACGCCGCCAGGGATTCCGACCGTTTTTTCCAGGAAAGGCCACGCCTCGTGACTACGAACAACACCCTGACGTGTCCTTTCATTGGCTGTATTTATTTCAAAACTTGCAGTCTCGTCACACATCTTATGGATCACTGTACACAGTTATTAAAAATAGGATTATTTTTTAATTTACATCACTCTCATCTCAACAAAGTTTTTGTATTGTGTTCTGTCGTAATTTGTTATGTGAATATTATAAGCCTGATAGCTTGTTGTCAGTTTTCCATGTTTGATGTTTTAGTATCACGTTTATACTATCGACATAATTATTTAAATTCCTCTTTATCTAGCCCGTGTGCTCCCATGTTTGTTATAGCAGACATGGGGTGTTATTTCTCTATTATGTTGTGATGATTCTGTGTATATTTGTGTATATTCTTAATCATCTTGATAATTTATTTTAAAACCTATCTGAATTTGTAATGGAGGACTGTGTAACTTTTCCGTGAAAATAAGTGATTTGACAACAATCGTTAATATGAATCTGGATGTGTTTGATTATCATTTGCGAATGTGATATTAATTATTGAATTGACCATTATTTACATGGCGGATGTCGTCAGTGAAGTAGAAGACGCTTACACTTCTGGAACATCTGATCTTATTCTTGTACTTTTTGAAGAGACTCCGTGTAAATCTTTCTTAGTTCATATTGTGCTCTAGATTTGGATTATGATTATGTTTGGATGATGGTAATTTCTTGCTCTTTGTTTATCTAACTAGCGTGCAAGAGGTAGTGTTTTGAAGTTTGGTTTCAAAATGAATCTATTTTTGTGCTGATGATTTATGTTTATACAGTCAATATAATAAAGCCAGTTACACAACCTGATTACCCAAATTTCCCCTGGCTAATACAGATCCCTTGTGTGAAAAAAACATTTACAGTTCAAAATTTCCAATGGGAAAAAACATGAAAGAAATACCGACATGTCATGTCAACAGGTTTAATTCGAACTCAAATTCGATGAAACTAGAGCAAAGTATAAGAAACGTGCAAAGCGAATAAGACGATGTGTTCCAGAATGGTAAGCGTTTTCTGTTTCATCAACAGTACAAACCATGTAAATGTTCGTCAATAGCATATTTTCCAATGGGATAATTATGACCAGCATACAATTTTCCATAACCTTCATCAACCTTCATATCTCTTTAAGCTGTGTGTGACAGCTATCGACATCTAACATGGAAATTGTAATATATGAAAGTACAACCAAGGACGTTTTCCTCATACGATAACAAAAAACAAGTTTGCCAAGGCCAAAAGAGTCGCTGAATGAAAGCTCGAAATCTCTGACATCATATGAGTTGTTTAGGATAACAGATAAAATGTTTATGTAGTAGAGGTGTTATACCATCGCCTTGTTATGCAACTTACATATATTTTTGTTGTTATTGTCAAGCTAGTTTGATGTTTAGTTACCGTCTCAAATCATTTCATGAAATTTCATTATATGCAACCTTACTTGTATTTTTGATGCACTGCCAATTCCTTACATGTACAGCATGTATGCATTTTCCAGAGCAATTTTCCTCGCCGTCCAGATGTTTAACGATTATAGGCACTTTTGGGAATTTAATTGTGCACATGTTCTTCCAGTGACACGAGCTGGTGTCAATCATTAATTGAGATGTTAGTCCAGTACAGGTGCCTGTCTTGGAGGAGTGAAGCCCCTGAACCATAGGGTTGTAAATCGAGTGACCAGTTCGACAGGAGAGTTTGGCAAATGCGCATTTCTTCCCATCTTTGACACATCTCTCATGATCCCGACAAATCCCACTCCTTGAAAAACTATTCTGACTTTGTCTATAAGCGTGTCGAGTATTGCCACATAAGGTCAGACCGGTGATGGAGTGAGACCCTAAAACATAACAAATTAGTATGATGGTGAAAAAAAGAGCAAAAACAAATCACTGTAAATATTTTCGGCTTAGATCAGATATCTTAGAAAACACGTTTGTCAAGTTGGTGACTTTTCTATCCCAGGCATTTTTATTAGCAGTCTGCGATAAACAATTCTATAAATGCAGTGTTACATCTAAGCGTTTGCTTCATGGTTTTCATTATGGTTATCTATTGATTATTACTTTGTATTGAAAGCATGTTTCCAATGTTTTGATGGAATTTTGATTGGATGAACCTCCTGGTAATGGGCTGCTCTGTAACACTGTAACTGTGATAACATATTTTCTCTTTATTCCCGTCTTTACAACATCTGTTCACGGTACATTAATGTCTGAATACGTGAAAGTCCCCAGCTTTTAACAACGTTTGTTTTTTGTTTTGTGGACATTGAAGGCATTCAAAGGCATTTATAAAGTTTATTAGTATAGGCTTTGCCACGAAGATTCACATTCCAGCCGATTACATCACTCTAACAACTCGGAATGCAGTCTCTACTGTATCACATGTAAACAGAAAACTTTAATCAGACATGCATACTTTACAGCAACCAATCGCTGGTGATGTATCCAACAGTTCACTTATTGTAAATTAATTAATTTCACAGAAGTTTAATCAACATTGATTTTATGAATACGAATTGATAGTCCAGAATATTGTAATTACTGTTCTATCTGCGAAATCAGGTTTTTAATAAACCACGAAATTTAGGCCCGATTAAACTATATAATCTTACAGTAGTGGATGGTCCATATGTCATACCATCTATGTGTCGGAGGATAAATGACCGATGACTATAGTTGGACCAGTAAGAAGTAAATATTACTAGTTGTGGGGTGGTGGGTATATTCTGTTTACAGGCGAAGGAGGCATTAAATGTTCAAATCTAAATACACTTCACTTGATGTACATAAGTAATTTTCTCACACACTACATGCTAGTCAATTAATAAATAAATTAATCGTGATATTTAAACACACATTTAACAGAAATCATTATGATGTCATTGTCTGTTATCCTATCAAACAATTATTAATAAAATTATAAACAAAATCCTTTTGTAATAGCTTACCTAAATATCTAGACATACGATACATATATACACACATGTGTAAATGATTTCTTTATATATGATACAGTATGACTTGATTGACCTAGTTTTCGACAACGAGAAATTCTAGAATGTCGTATATATATATATATAGACGAGAAAAATAAAACGGTTTTTATAAGTAAGTGGGCTAGTAAAAGCGAGCACATGTGTAAGGTCATGCCTAAAATATTTAGAAAAATGCCAATAAGAAAATCGATGTTAACGGGTACACTTTAAAAAAGTTTCAAAAAAGTTTCAATCATTTTATCAACATATAACTTAGATATAATTTGTCGTTAATTATACGTATGTTGAAAAAGGAAACAATTTATATACAACTTATCGATGAAAACAAAATAACATTCTAGAACATTACAATACTTGCCTAAAAGGTCCAAAATAGCCAGAACTGTTAAATACGTTATGTAGCTAGTATCCATTTTGCCGACGCTTCATCACTAGGTCAAGGTCGTACGAGGCAGGCGCCACTGTTTATGTTATGGTTTTACAGAATCCTAGCAGCCCCCGTCTAAAATAACAAGACTTACTAGGCAGTATCTCTCTTTGATTTGATATTTCTATGTTTATTTTTTTATAAATAGAAAGTCGATGTCCTACTTAGGTTTCTATCGTTATGGATGTTGCATTAATATATTTGTATTGAAAGGTGCGAACGACTTGTGTTTCATACAGAAATCCATATAGATAAGTATTGTACTATTTTGCTGTTCTTTTGTGTTACCTACTTGTTATTCTGACTTGAGAAATATATATTTGTTTTCGTTTTAAAAACACGAGTAGATAAAAATAAATTAGAATTATGAAAAGTTATGAACATAAAAAAATGAAACAAGACCAAATACATAAAAAACTAATGTTATGAGAAACTAGTTAATTTGGTTGGTTGGTTGCTCACTCCCTCCGAATATATTTATCATTTTGCGTATTTAATATTTTGTGACATTATTGACCATACAAGTATAAGTATATTGTAAATACCGTTAAATTGATAATGCTTTTGTTTTAGACCTATGGGTCGATACACTCTAGGTTAATAAAGAACTTGTTCAATGTCCATCCAGCATGTTTGACAATCGTCCATACAAGTTTTCCTTTTATATTTAGGTCAGTTTGATGCCGGACCAGCAATGTGTACTGCCTAGCATTTGCAAAACTGTTTCATGGCTTTTATCCTCATTTATATATATATATGTCCTCGGTCCGGGGAAATTAGCTATTTCTTCTAGTTTCGTGAATGTTCAATATTTGAACAGCTGAATTTTGAGTTTCATTTTTCTCCCTCTCTTTATCTCTCTTGAAAAAGACAGGGTTATATTGTTAACGATTATTTGTCCCCTAACCGTTGTCAGCTCTCTAGAGACTTAACGCCTTAAGGGTTTACCAAGAAACTTCACATATAAAACTTCACATTGTTTTGGAAACGTGTAAGTTTTAGGGTTTTTGGGTCAAGGTCATTGTCACGTTCTACTTTTAGAAAGTCATTGTCACTCCTCGAGGTATTTTTATTTTTAAATAAAACCACATGTTTAAAATATGAAAATGTTCAGAACAAGTTTGAGTTCGAGGTTGTTTGGTAAAGGTCAAGGTTGCCATTGATATTTAAAAACAAAGTTGTCTCTAGCGGCTTCATTCCTTAAAATGATTTGTTAAAAACACCATTCATTTACAAATGACAAAACAAAATAGTGTACACAGCTGAAGAACCTTGGAGATTGTCATACTTATTTTATAAAATCAGTTAAATTTATTGTATACTTATTTTGCAAATGAAAAACAAATAGTTCCATCTTTAAGGTGTTATAGCATGTAGGGGCCGATTGAGGATATATAGCCTTCTGCTTTATGTCACAACTGTGTGTGTTTATATACACTGTGTATAGGTACAGACACATGCATCTGGAACGTAAACAACACCAAGAAAATCCAGGTCACTACAGCATCATACAAAAAGGTAGGAAACTTGCCCGGCCAGGCCAGTCTCTACGACGGAAGTACGTCATTTCTAAATGTAAATTCATTTTCAAGGAGCTAGTCGATTGGGTGACTATTGGGAGTTCCTATTAAGGGATCGATATGTGAACTGAATGACGTACTTCCTTCATGTAATCAGAAATGGATTGACCGCTAGAAATCTCGAGCGAAGATATAGTGACATTTTACGGCGAAAATGTGACATATGTTCGTAATGCTATTTAAAGGTTATTCAAACATGTTTTAATGGTAGGATAACATTAAAAATGGCGAACATACTATTTTCAAAGTTGTTTGAGGAGCTCCGATCTCGAACGGGGAGTTTTGCTTGTGTTGTTTACGTTCCAGATACAGGTGCCTGTGATACTGGGAAGCATTGCAGTTACTGTAGTATTTACCAGAGTAATATAGCTGTTTTTGTTAATATGTAAAATATTAGTGGTTAGCTTCAGCTGAAAAAAAAGTCAGAATGATATGGTTTTTGAAATACACTCTGAATGTACATTCGAATAAAAGGAGAGAGAAAGGAGGGTGAAAGTTTCCCAGTGTACGGTGTGTTTATTGTAAATAATTTTCTTATTCACAACTATTTAATGATCCAAAGAAATAAACATATCTAGATGGCGAGGGAAATATCATGGTTTTCATATGTCTGGTAGTTTTAGGAGAACGTCAAAGCCATATCTAGTTGCTGAACCGTGCCATCATTTAAATGAATTTATACTCGACATGCAGGTTACGGGAAACATCGGGGACTAATAGTCTAAAGTTACTGACACATATGATATTTGTAATCTTGTAAGGAAAGTGAAGCATGGGCCTGCGAAAACTTTCAAAAACATTCATTCGTCGGACTAATGGAATTGCAAACAGCACTCCTCAGAATTAACTTGTTATGAAAACTGACACGTATTTGGTATCTGGATCCAATTTAGATAAGTTCAGTTTAATTAGATTGTCAATTACTGGTGAGCGTTTTGCTTAATATGCCACCAACAGTTGCATAATGTTAGTACCTGCCCAATTATAGAGTTAGTGTAAACACTATCACGAATTCTTTGTTTTGTGACAAGTTGTGAGATAACTTTTCAATGAACCTATGAACTACAAGATATCCTTTGGGCCTGAATCCCTTACCTTGTCTGCAGCATACAAGGAAAGGTTCTGAAAAAAAATCTTCAGTTTGTTAAATTTTTGCATATTTGTAAGTCCATTTCTCAAGGAGAATGTTACTTCATAATCACCATGTCACTGGGCTTAAATTGTATGTTATTGAAGAGAAGCAGTTGGAAGGGTTATGCGTGTGACCCTGTTGCCTTTAAAGAGGCAAAGGTAATATACTTGTATACTTTGTATAAGTTGTTGAAATTTTTATACACTTTCGACCCATGTGACCTTGCTAATGTGTAAAGAAGTATCAAGCTTGTCCAGTCAATCTTCCCATTAGGTTTCGTGTATGATGTCATCTTTACACTTGTGAACGATGTCACCTTTACACTTGTGAACGATGTCATCTTTACATTTGTGAACGATGTCACATTTACACTTGTGAACGATGTCACCTTTACACTTGTGAACGATGTCACCTTTACACTTGTGAACGATGTCACCTTTATACCTGTGTATGATGTCATCCTTTACACATGTGTACGATGTTATCTTTACACCTGTGAACGATGTCATCTTTACACTTGTGTACGATGCCATCCTTTACACTTGTGAACGACGTCACCTTTTACTCCTGTGTACAATGTCACTCCTACACATGTGTACAGTGTCTCCACAAGCCCTGTGTGCGAGGTCTCTTATACACATGAGTACAACGATGTCATCCCAAAACATATGTACCATGTCTCTACCACACGTATGTACAAGTTCCCTCCTACACCCGTGTAACAATATCTCGCTCACACCTGTTCACTATTTAACTGTTACATCTGTACTACTTATTATACGCACTCTGATTCAATGTTCTAAATCCTTCATATCTTATCCTCATTCACTTCCATATATTCCTCTAAAGCTGCTCTCATCTGGTAGATGACACAGATTTGAAATTTCTAACTTGTTATATATTTAAGTAGAAGAATTCGTGTAGGCGGACATATGCTAATTTGTTTAAAGTTGATATGTAATAAGCTAACAGAAAAGGTTGTTCAGGGTATCTTGGTTACAGTGTGAGAGTAGTGTATGTGATGACATAAATGGACTTCACAATCAGAAAGTGAGAAATTGGGGAACTATGACACGTGATGTGTGGATGAGAACTGGCCAACAAGAAAGGTAGGAATAAGTAACTCGAATGTCTCATCGTACTTGTATGTCTGGGTAGTAAAGTGGCCAATAGGTTTTACAGTATCTATGTATATATCAAGGGGAATATATTTATCTCGAAGAAAACTATTTATCATTGCATTGATAATATAATCTTTACTTAAACTTCTGATAACGATCTAAGATATGCAACGTTCTGCTACCAAATTGTGATTCGGACACCGTACATTTAGCGTTTATTACATAATTCCCCACATCTCATTTCGACATATTTTTTTTTCTTTTTTTTTTCAATCAAGTAAGTGGCTTTCAACAAAGAGATGAAGTCAGCAGCAATAAGCTGAATGGCTTCAGTCAGTAACACGACACCTTTCCTTACAGTACATATATGCCTTCAAAATATGGGCAAAATAACATACGACACGTCTCAAAATCATTAACGGTATGATTTATTCCGGATTAAACAACGAGACACCGAATCCCTTGGCGTGTCGTTTAGTGTAATAATTTTTACGTCCTTCAGCTTAAGCAAGCGTATTTGATCAAGAGTTGTCAATGACGCACCAAATTCTATATACCGGAGTTGAGAAATCGATATGGAGTTATTTATACAGATAATGTGCTTGAAATCAAGCAAGTAGCATCAGACAAATAAATACCAAAGTACATTAATCGGTCTCGGAGTGTTAGACCACATAGATTAATGTCTGGTATTCGTTATCTCACGGCACCAATCGAGTTGTCCTTCTTACATCATTTCCGGTCACAAGAGGCTTAACTATCAGGTAAGTACTAATTGTATATGAAACACTGTTCATATATCTAATGATAATGTGTTATTGTTTAATTAATCATACGGGCGTCTGTTTATAAGGAAAAGGTGTATAGGTGTTGTGTTATTATAAAGAATGTATCGTACTTTTCATAACATTTAAATGATATCTTACTTGTCCGAATCGTGTTTACCTGTCTGATTGTCGAACTGGGAGACAATGTTGTCAGACGTAAATGCCTTCTACAGAATATATTCTTTATATTTAGTATTCTCATTTACTGTGATTGATTTTATGAACCCAGAAAAAGAAATATTCCGTTTTGTGTTAAATTGATGGTTGTGATATATACATGCATATATATATATACATTTAATACGTGTGTGCGTTTACTACCCTCATATGACTGTTGATAACACAGCCGACCTGCAAAAGTCACCCTCGTGTGGTATCTCACGTATACGTAGATCTGGTTTGCTCGATAACGTGCACGATGTTTACATTTTGATACAGTCTAGTCTAGGTTGAAGTATTTAAGACTAAAGCGTACAAATCCGCTAAGGCAAACATTAAGTATAACGGTTGTCCTGTATGCATTCCCACCGCAAACGTAAACTTTTAAATTACATAATAAGCAATCTGCACTTCTATATTATCATTTACAATCCCATATCAAATTACATTATTATTTCTAAATTAAATGTATCACGTAATTGAAGGTTTATTGAAAGGATTGAAAGATAACACATTTGCGTATACAAGTCCTTATTTTCATTACAGTGGCAAATTACAACCAGAGTTAATCATGAAAATGTACATTTATATCATCCATTTTATATTCTGTATCGTTCAATTTAAGGCTTGCCACTTTTTTCAATAGCTGCTATTGGATAGTCGACCCTTATAAAAGTCCTATTTCATATTCTAAATGTTTATTTCAAATCAGGTGTCATATTGTGCTATACAAAGCAGCATGTCGGAGACGAAAGAGCCTGATTCACCTTCAATAGGTAATGGTTTAAACCTTAACGCAACAGAGGACAGTAACACAAGTGGTATTGAGAACATTGCTCTTGACCCGTTTCTGATTGAATGTCCCATATGTCTGGAGCAACTTGACCAACCAAAGTCCCTGCCTTGCCTTCACACATTCTGCCTCGACTGTCTGTCTGACTGGATCGTCAAAGACGACAATCTCACAACATTTCCTTGTCCGATATGTAGGAAGGTTACAATGCCGCCTGACATTACGTCCGGAAAAGCTACATGGGCTATTAATTTCCCTACCAATAATCTGATAGTTGAAATGATAAGATACTCGCAGAATACTGCTGTTAAAAAAAATTGTGATCCTTGTAAAAGACGTACGGACAGAGAAATTCTTGCTGTTCGTTGGTGCAAAATCTGTAACGTGTACCTATGTCAGGAATGTGAGATCGACTTTCACAGATTTCTACACACAGCAGGGGAAACATTTCATGTGAGTGATCTCAACCAATCTCCACTTAGGACCACTACCGCCTCACTCAGATGTACACAGCACCAGAAGAAGATGAGCTTGTTCTGTGAGGACCACCAGGCTCTAGTGTGTAGTCATTGTGTATCCATTTCTCATCGGACATGCGGCAGTGTAATGACTCCGGAAGATTATGCCCAGAAACTCAACAGGGATGACGTCATCAGGACACGATTGTCTGACGGGGAACACGTGATGGATGCTCTGGTAAAAGATTTCAGTATCCAACTGGAATTATTAGAAAGCAATAAGCATGAAGCAGAACGCAAGATTTCATTAGAAAGTCAGAAAATAGGTGACATAGTTTGCAGGTTCCGTGATCAAGCCATGAATCAACTTTCTAAAGTTCACAAAGAACAGAAAGGAATTTTAGAATCATCAATACAGCGGTGCAAAAGTCTAAAAAACAGTATGATAAACACTAGCAAAGTATCCGGTGTAATATCTTCCGGAACTGATCCCGTGCAGAAGATTTCTATCTATCAGCGAGGAAAGGCCGAAATAAACTCGTGCACACAGATGGTCCATGATCTTGTGAGACCCTTTGAAGGAAAACTCATTACGTTTGAACCAGAATGTCTTCATGAAAAGATTGAATCGTTCGCTTCTATAGGAAGGATAAGCGCAAATAACCAGATCCGTGATTTTCCTGTACCTGTAGACAAGTGGCTCCCCCTGTCGGACAGGATCGCTAATCACCATGACACATTCTCAGTCAAACTGGAAAAGGACAAATATGCATGTTCAGTTAGGGATATCCTGTGGTATGACGATGATGTAGTACTTCTCACAGATGCAAACAATAAGAATGTAAAACTGTTCTCTGAAAAGGGCGAATTTATTGATGTATTGCACATGGATGATCGGCCATGGTCGGTATGTAAACTACCTAACAACAGAGTAGCAGTAACAAGGCCAGACGCGAAAATGATTTCTATCGTCAAGTTAGAAGAAGTCAATACCGAAGGAGGAAATGGGAATTCTGCAAATGTGAGAACAGATATACCCTTCAAAAAGTTAGGTACCGATTCCACTGATTGTACAGGACCGGACCAAGTTCCCAGCGAAAATAACACCAGTCAAGATCCCCGGAGGATAATCTCGCTGACTTTAGAAAATAGCATCACGACAAACCTAAATTGTTATGGTATTTGTCACGTCGGGGACATGTTTGTTGTAAGTAATGGGAAATATCGCCCTTACCAGTTGTACACTGTGGCACCGGATGGTCGGACAGACCTCATTATGGAACATGAATCACCATCTTACTATATAACCAGTAAGTATACGTATCGTGCCTGAAAATATTACTTTGAGGAACTCTGATATTTTCTTGGACTAAAAAATGTAATACCATTTCTTTACTACGCCTTGATAATATACGTATTTTAGCATGCGGTTTGTTATTATATCACGACAACCAATTATTGGAATAATGCTAGTACACTTATGACATTAGGCCTTACTTTGATATGAAAAACATTTTGATAAAAAATACGCAATTTTTAATCTTTGATTCGGGAGTTTATTTTTTTCACACCTAACTTTAATATGCCAGTTTTCGGGATCATTTGTCTCTGTTTATTGCCATCCTTAAAATAGGTTTCGATCTGATAATGATATTTCGAGAAGGAATATGTATCTGTGTGTTGAAATTTATGCATGCTATAATTGTTGACACATGGTGTGTCTATGATGATGTGATTTTAGAATAGATCTAAATCGAGTTTTGATTGTAGCGTTTATTTTCACTAGGGTCAATCACTGAACAAGACATCGTTGTCGGTCTGACAAGCTCCGTCCCTAGAAACGTCGCCCTATACTGCCTAAAAAGTCACAGCTCACCAGAACGCATCAACATATCCCCAGCTGCAGAGAAAACCCTAAATAATGCATACGGCATGGACGTCGATCGAGATGGCAATATATACTTATGTTGCGGAGGACCTATGAGTGTTGTGCAAGTGACATCAGATAGGGAGACTGTTAGGGAATTGGTTGGGGTTGAACAGGGCATCAAGGATCCCAGGGCTATTTCCGTGCTTCATAATAAAGTTGTTGTCACAGACGTCGCTAAAGAAAATGCTAACATCATTAAGATATTTCATCTCCGCTGAAATATTGATTCTTACACGTGTTATATTAAATGTTTATCTTTAACGTTTTCATTACTAGATATAAAACAACTGTTGATTTATTTTGGTGTCATTTATACCGTGTATCTAAGGACGATTTACCCTTGTTCAGGAAATGGGATATCATATCATATAGATAGTCGCTCTGTCAGAGTATGAAAAGATATCACGGGAAGATAATTTGGCATTGATGTTGTGATTTATGTATAATGGTTTATGTATAATATGTATAATGGTTTATGTATAATATGTATAATGGTTTATGTTTAAATGGCAGTGAGTTTTACTATATTTACATTGAGTTCTCTGCGATTAATGCTACTCCACCCTTGTTGCATGATTGTATGACATGTCTAAATTTGGACCTATTCTTTTTTTAAACAAAAGATACGATTTTTAAAAATGTCTTTCCTTGACACTGACTCGCTTTGGGCCTTAAGCTGACCGTTTGCCCCTGTTATAAAAAGTGTGTGTTCTGTTCTCTTGCCCAGACATACTCCCTTTCAAAAAGATAATTAATACTCACTGCTTATCTCTCAGTATTGTGTTGTTGTAAATTACTGGTTCGCCAACTGCCAGTATAATGTGATCGGATGAGTGTCCTACATGAGGCCTCTGGCAGTATACTTTGGAGTAGCAGCGGTATTCATATGGCTTCTCTTTCGCACTGTTACAAGGGGACATACACAAACATTGCGTAGCCTTCCACAAACATACGAACTGAACACACGCCATCACCTCGCATACACAGGGAGGCCGTCCTCAAATGAACACAACTGTAACTGTTAACAGGGCTTTAAACAAAATAAAACTAATATTCTTCATCTCAAATGTGTACTTAAGACAGGGAGCATATTTTAGAGTTACCTTTAACTCCATCAATGGCTGTCTTACAAAGTTCTATTTGACGCGATGTTCACAGGAAATAATCACAATTTTCTCAATATCAAACAAGGAAACTGTCTATTTTGACCTGTGATTTAACATGTAGACACATTATTCGTTCTTAACCACAAAAGGTAAAAAAGGGCCTGTTGTTACCTCAATTTATTATATTTCAGCTTTGAGGTTCAAGCATAAACACACAATTACTCTGTTGTTTAGCGACATACAAATGATTTCCTTTTTTCATCCAACTTCCAGAATTTAACATCATATCCTCACCACACAACCTCTGTGATGATTGAACAGATGTTGATCAGTTAAAGTAGCCAGACAAGAAGCCAACAACCATGATAAGTATAACAGCATTCGCATTAAGGAGGCGTTTGGCCCATTTGGTTTGGTGAACAAATTCCTTCCTCTGATCAATGTCGATTTCTGTTGTTGTATGGTCCTGTGCACTCCCGCATACCATTTCTAGCAGTCGTCTTAACTTTGGAGTCGAGCCGGAGATAGCTGGATCGACATCTGTTGCAAATAGATTTAAATTTAAATTAAACTAAGTTAAATATATGTCCATGGCCCCACCATCTCCATGAGGACTTTTTGGGTACATAGCAAATAAATGTCAAGTTATTATCCGAGTGATAGGATTAAATTTGAAAATGTGAATTAAAGTTTTAAACTTTTCATAACTTTTTTTTACTAATAATGATAGACATTTCCTGTCATGTGACTATAATATACCTTCACGCAGCCGTGATGACGAATCATTGGAAGATACTTTGAGTTGGAGACCCTGGTCTTGCGAGTTAGTGTCCGCTTTGTATTTGGTCCACCATGTTACTCCAACAAGCTGTAGATACAAGTGATTCACAATAAGAATGGTATTATGATCCATGTAAAAAAAACGAAAAATTAAATGACATTTTGAAGATGTAAATTATTTATGAATAAGAATAACGTGTACACCTTATGTCTTATGTAATTTCATAACGTTGCCTGCTTTCATAGGTGATCCTATCGACATTGAAAAAATCGTTTTGGGATCTTGTTCTTGGTCGATATATTTAACAAACTGATGGATGAATCAAAATCGACATCAACAAAATGTTTTAATCTGATACCATGCCATCAACTCTACAGTTCTATAATAAATCCAATCTGTATCACTAATTTACTGGAAGACATATTGCCCAATAATCACAGCTATGCTATGCTATCTACGTTATCTTTGGTCTAGTCATACTGGTACTGGCCTCGTCCTCTTTTCGTTTAGCAGTGAAGATACTGATGAGGACTGTAGCAACTGTTGTGATGAAGAGGATCATGATACCGAAATACAAGTAGTTGATGGTGAGGAAGGCAGGACGCGTTTCCTCCTCACCGCAGTTGGGCTGCGGATAAACGAACTCCAACACCAGGCGAATAATTCCGCATACATGCCCAAACAGCAAACCCCAAAATGCGCCCTGCACCAAAGTTAACGTGTAAAAACATAAACGAGAGGAGATGTTTAAGCAATGAACTGTCAGCTGGCAGTTACAGTGAATATACAAGATGAAAGCCAATGGACAAACACAAAGAAAATACGTGGAAAATATGGTTTTAATCTTGCTTTGTCCAGTTGGAAATGTAAACGATAATGCGCGCATATTTTCCATTTTCGACGTACATGTATTTGTAAAAGGAAAAAATCCCAACCAAACCGGACACGAACGGCATATGAATCTTTAAGAGATACACAGTAAAGGTTAAGGGAACTCTTGAAAAGGTAACAAACCGGAGTAGAAATTTCTTTATTCGAATGAAGAGGTAAGAAAAAATCACTACCATTTATGTAAAAAAATTGAAATTAAATGTGAGAGTGATGTAAAACTGCTACTTTGTACTACGCCTTACGTTTTCTGTTGTTCCTTTCCAGAACATTGACAACAAGAAAAGAATCCCTATCGGTGATCCAAGGTATGCTTCCATTGCCGTCATGTATTGAAATAATTTTCCGCCCTGGGAGGACTTGACCAATGGAATCCAAAGAATACTGATGACGCACAACACTACCACAAACAACCTTTCAAAGGGGAATAATAAGGTATATTGGCACAGCTTGAGACGTATGAAGTATCCCTCTAAATGAATTTATCATGATACAAAACGAATAGTGAGAGATTAATCTAAGACATTTACATATTGATACAGTGTGCGAGTTCATACTGATAAGCCGTATTGTTCTCGTCAGAGGATGTCTTTGACACTAACCTACCAACAAGTAACAATTCCACTTGAGATGCGTGAGATCTGATCCTACGCCAGATATCCATAGTAAATACAGTACTGGAGCTGTTAAAGATCGACGTCAAAGAACTCATTATAGCTGAAACCATCACCGCCATCAGTAGGCCCCGTAAACCTGCAAAATACCATTACCTGGTTTAAAAGGAAAAAGGAAATTATGTAGCTGTCAAGTGATGTCAGATGACTTTACAGACAGTATTCGAACCCAAACAATGTTTTTTTTTGTAATCAAAAATGAATGTGAGTCTTTAATAAAAGAATGTTATATCTTTATAGATCAACAGCAATTATACTCTTGTTAGCATTACTTGCTGTAACCTACCCACAGGAAGCAGCTCTAATACCAATTTAGGGTAGGCAATGTTAGAGCAACCAACCGGATTGTCACATATTCTAGAGCATTCGTCCGGGTCCACACACCCAACCTCGTCTACAAAAACAACATGAAAATACTAGCATGTAAATCTAATCATAATCCAAACTCAAACTCAATAAGCCAAAATATATATATCAAAAAAGACTTTCACGAAGAATGCTGGTAAAATACAAGGACAATTTAAGTATCCAAAATTATCAAACACTTGATCTTTATTTTTTTTTTTAAAATTCCCTTCGTGATCTCAACGCTTTTGACACCTGTCATCGAGGAATGATCCTAAACGTTTAAAATCATCTATATGGTACAATTCTTTTCCTCACTCTCATGTTTCTTTCATTATGCTATATTGACATGCTGTGATGAAGCGGTATATATTGTTTAGGTATGTTGCCATGACTGTAACTCTTTGTTTGAGGTATTACCTGGAAACAACACCCTGCTGATCATACCAGGAAAGACGATGAGGAAGAGAGGAAGAGTCTTAAGATAACCGGCCAGAATAGAGCCACCTTTTGCGTGCGACAAGTTCTTCGCTCCCAAAGACCGCTGAACAATCACCTTCATCGTAACGGAAATGGTATCTAATATAATTATGACATGAAAGTGTAATTTGGTGAGCATAGCAACACATTTATCTCACCGCAGTTCATTTTCAAATATCAGAATTAGTCATAATAATGATTTTTGGAAATAATGAGGTTGCGTTTCTCACAAAAATACTGAAAATTAAATACGAAAAATTACCTACATTTATTAACAACATTCACGATATTGCGCCAACACTTTGAAATTGTCAAAACGATTTAACTCGTCCTGTTGTTAGTAATTTTTGTGAATAATATAGTATGTTGAAATATATATATATCAGTCAATCATTAAGAACAACATTTGGCGTTCAGACATTTTGATGTTATCACCTTCCATGATGCTAGTTTGTGTCTGTAATCGATCCGGATTTTAATTGAATAGTGTGCCGTTGTCTGGTGAAAGCACCAGAAGGCCAGATGATAGTTATGTTAACCTTACCTGGTCACAGCACCAGTACCACAGACTGCCGATCGAACTCTGTAAGACGAGGGCGGGCCATGGGTAGTCTCCGTTGATGGGGTCAAGGAACACTCTAAATGCGTCATGGTTTGGAATACCACATGTCGTAGCATTGTTTCGGATCTTAGGAATCGCGGCCATATATTTTGTTTGTAGAGCATTCAAACCACCGACTTTATCGAATCCTGTTTTAACGAACGCGAGCTATCGTTAAACTGATGGTTCCAGAGAGGTGAAACAAAAATTGCAACTGTCGTTGTATGATATAAATGTGAGAAAGACATGAGCTGATTGACGATGGAAGTATATTTAAAATAAACAGCAAATTATCCAATGTCTCCCAGAGTGCATTGCGGTATCCCAATAATAATATATCTGTAAACAGCTTACGTCATTTCAGGATTCTTGAAAAAACAACGTATTTGTGTCATATAATAAAGTATTTCATAATTTTTAGTGGTTTTTTTTTAATTTGCATTATTACTTCAAAATGGACCTTTGTTCATCTGGAAAATGATTACATAAATGTATTTGGTAATAAGGTGTGTGGAATATATCGCGGAAGATGAATTTTTAGTGGACTGTCACTAACCGTCATGTTAACATTTTCTACTTTCACTTTTCAGCTACCGACGTGTGCTCGAGTTACATGTTCGTACATTGTGATATCAGTGATAATTGATGGTACTCTGACTACGATATTGGCACATAACCTCTCAAAAATAGTTAATTCTTTTTCATGCTGATCGATGACATACACAACAATCTACATTGGAGTCCTTTGTTGGTGTTGTCGGGGATGACGCCATATTTTTTCCCGACGTCAAACTTTCACCCTGACAGCGAGGTCAACTATTGTATTGTGACTGACAAGGAACGACAACTCTGATAGAGATTGAAAAATCATCGTGACCATTCGAAATGTTTTAATCTACTACTTCAGTTTAGAGAACGTGTTAAACGATATTAACAGTTTTGGGCGTGATTATTATGTTATATGAGAATGAATGTAAATTACAATTAACTTTTTTTGTCGTGAACTACAATATATTTCTGTAAAACTGCATTGCTGTAATAGAGAAAAAAATCGATGATTAAACCTGTGATATTGTATATGCTGTGTGCCTTACCTATAGCTACAATGGAGAGCGACCCGAGAATCATGACAACTGTTTGGAATGTGTCTGTGTACATCACCGCTGTCAACCCACCTTTGAATGTAAAGAGACAATTATAACACACATGCCATTTTGCTTTTATATGACATATAAAACAAAAGGAATAAGAAAAAATAAAAATTGCCTTTTTATGGCTATTGCAACAATATAAAATGGTCTCGATAGATGACATGCATAGTAAAAATCATTGAAAACAAACCCTTCCAAAGATGCTTAAACTTAAAAATTGCAATATTGCTTTAAAATAGATGTATTAGATTCATAACAAACACACATCTTTCGGAGATAAAAACCTTTATCATCTCATCCTCCATATGTTTGCGATGTCAAAATAATAATGACATAAACACGTACAGCCAATACGAATGTCACCTACAATATATATTATAGCAGAAAGCAATATAAAATGTTATATCATCACAAATATTTTGTTTTCTGTGGATAGTGTATATGATGATCATTTATTTTACTAATTGCCATTTCTTATTTCACACCATTGTGCAAACTTACTGACAGTTGGATAAATATAACACACACCACTACTGGTATATGACCTTCCGGACTTTTGATTAGCTGGGGAATTCAACTTAGACCACAAAGGATTATTTGAACGCATATTAAGTAGGTCACGAATTTTTTTGTAATAATATTTTTTGGTATGGATTTATTGATTTTAACATTCATGAATAATGATATTTCGATGTATTTCTGAAATTGTCAGTGTTGCTTATCTATTAATGGCATTTCACTATCAATCGTAGAATAACGCCCACAAACGATATCAAAAATTGCCGTTACAATAAAAACTTACTCGAGTGAGAGTAAAATATTCGACAAAACTAATTTTCGTGTAATTTTCCCTTTATGAAATATCATCTTTGATTTCTACAGAAAATCGTCACATCAAAGATGGTTTATATATTATATCTATATATATATAAGTGCGAATTTTTATATAATACTCCAATGTAACTTTGTGTTTAAATACATAGATATCTGTTTTTTACTATGTTCAGAGTTTTTCTAATGTTAAAATGTGTAAGTTTGTTTATAATCATATGTCGTGATAACCGCAGACGTTTTTACATTGTTTTGCTTACTTACCTAAAATGGTGTAAATCGCCGTGATCACCAGTAGTACAATTATTGACAGGTACATATCCCATCCGAGGGTCATCTGGATAAACATTAACCCCGCAAATATGCTTACCTAAGAAAACAGACAAATGAGTATATCAGAATCATAACGACCTTATATATCTCTTATGTTATGAATGATAAAAACTTTACGCGGAAAATTCATATTGCTTTCTGATAGAAGGTAGTGGAACCAATATTAGTTTAATTGTTCATGATTATTCGAGTTTATTAATGTAGAGAGGCGACTAACTACACTGTGGTAATGAATTGCCCGTCATTGGTACAGAAAATCGAAGTCTTAAGAATATAACAAACGCTCGACTGACCAGTTCAGAATGCACACATTATTTTTTTATCTTTTCATATAATAGTTATATATAGTTCCCTTTATGATTCTATGTCTTCGTAACAACTTTACATTTTATATTAAAGAACAATTTAAAAGATGTTAGACAATTAAGGAATATTACCTTTTTATGAACAAACCTAACTCAAAGTCAATTTTACGACTTTCTGGCGAGTTAATCCTTTGCACTACTGATCACCTTGGAGAGGTTAAAGATTATGTATTGTACTCACGGCCAATTTGGAGACAACATATAAGATCAAAGCAATGCAACTCAAATACACCCTCAGCTTCCGTCCACCGTGACGTCTCTCGATATACTCAGGTAGAGTGTATACCTATACAGAAGAATTCAAGTAAGTAATTATATATAAATTCTAACCTAAATACAGTTATGTTTGCTTTATAAGGTTTCATTACGAAATGTTTAATTAAACACATGCGAATATCACTAACCTACCCCAGCCGATATGTAGACAGGAAGAAACAGCCAACCACATAAAAGGATCAGGAATATCACCTGGAACAATCAGAACATCGTAATCTTATCACATTGTATACCTTATACTTAGCAGTTGATTGTGCATAACACACATACACTCAACCTCTCTCTCTCTCCCCTCTCTCCCTCCCTCCCCCCATCTCTCTCTCTCTCTCTCTCTCTCTCTCTCTCTCTCTCTCTCTCTCTCTCTCTCTCTCTCTCTCTCTCTCTCTCTCTCTCTCTCTCTCTCTCTCTCTCTCTCTCTCTCTCTCTCTTTCTCTCTCTCTCTCTCACACACACACACACACACACACACACACACACACACACACACACACACACACACACACACACACACACACACACACACACACGCACACACACACACACACACACACATACGCCCTCACATATATAACTTCTCGTTAACTGATATCATCTTGAGCATATTTAACATGAACACTCATCCTTACTGGCTATATCATAAATATATTTTCTATAAAAGGAGATTACATTTTCTAATATTCCACAAAACATCAAATACATGCCATCCCTTATAAACTCTGAACTCGTATTTGTATTAAGTGATGTAAAATTTAATTCAATTAAATCATAAAGCATATGTTTTAATAAGTTCTCTTCTTAAATACATGGTACAAAGGGCAAGTTAAAAAAATAGGCTGGGTCTCCATGTTTCCAAATACTTTATTATATTAACAGGTAACAGATTACGTTAACATCATTTTCAATACTTCTATCGCTGCTTGTTCACTTAGGCCATCTCAACTGTCTCAAACTGAAACAAACGATACATTTAAAACCTGATATCAGTAGGTGTCCCGAGTCTACACCAAACCTACTATATGTGATATAGGGCTATAATGATTCTATATATATACATCTCGACCTATTCACTTACAAACCACTCATACAGGACCAGGGCTATACCCGAGGACGCCCCAGCTCCCGCCAAACCAACGAAATGTTCACTGCCAATGTTACTGGAGAATAGGGACGCACCGACCTACAAAAAGAAAACATACATGAATGTCCGGTGTGAGTTTCGTATATATACTAGAGATTTTTGATGTAAACGAAACCGAGACAAAATGTTTGTTCAGTAATTTGAGAGAAAGGAAATGAAATGAGGTTTTCGAAATAAGAATTATAGAAAATGTCAACGGCATAGCGATGTGTAAATCAAAAGGTTATTCCTAAATGTCAGGAGTGTCACCGGTGGAATGAGCTAAAGAATACAGCAACGAGCGCATGGAAACACTCCAAAGTACAGAAGAAGGAGCTTGACACAAATTTTAATAGCAAGTGTAAAAAGGTGTAGATGTCTAGAAATTGTACAAAAGACACACCAGTGAATAGTACATTCTTATAATTTAGAACGAATGAAACTGCATCATACAGCTGTTTCGTCCTTCTAGGACTCGTCTGTGATGCTAAGGGCCGAAATTTTGAACCCTAAGAGGCGACTAAGGAGAATTTACAGTGATAAAAAGAAAAAGTTAAAATCTAGACGGGGAGGTGCAGCAGCGACATAATAAGATGAATTTCGTAATTTTCATACATCAGATAATTTTCGAATGGAGAAGGAATGAATATATATATACACATACATATCCTGGCGATTTCAGCAGTACTTACAGCAAACCAGGGCATGGACCTCCCGGCGAGAAAGTAACTCTTGACATTTCCCCTGTTTGGTCTTCGGAGCGACTGTAATGATACATTCATTAATAACATTGTACAAAATAACATGTTTACATTGTAAATAAGGGCATTATTGGCAATCATGTTGGATTCTAGAATGTTGATGTAAAAAGGATTTGTGGTAATTACTTCATTTTCAATCGGTAAATGGATTTAGCCCAGTTAATTAAATGAGGTCACCAAACCGACACCAAAAGAACAGTAATATATCGTTGTTCTGTGTTCGATTAACATGAACTGAATGTATGAATAAACAAAGCGACATATCAACCCTCTGTCCTCATCTTCATGGTATTCCGGAAATGTGATGTTTGTGATGTTTATAGTAATAACAATATTTCTCATATCCGGAACAATGAAGTTCATTCCCTTGACCCTGCAGTATTATTATCTATCTGTATCAGTAAATGTTACACTATTGTTTTACAGTCTACCTTGTCAAAAGTGTACAGTAAGTTTTAGTACTATACAATAAAGTGGAAAGTTGTCTTATGTCTTTTTACCGATTAGTAAGGTATGCAGTTCGTCAGCTATTTAAGCTTGTAAAGCGTATTTTAAGGATCATTTGCCATCATCATCCATTCTTAACAGAGAAAATGTGAGTTTTATCTTTCTTAATTCCCATTGTCATTACGTAACATAACTCGGTAGGTGTGATTCAAAATATTGCCAATATGCATCGTATTAAAAAAACTTTTTATTTACCTGAACATTTTTGTCTCAATTCAACTTTTGCTCTGCGTATTTAGAGGGAGTCATTTTCCACAGCGAGTTTTTGCACAATGATGTTAGTACTATGAAATGAAACCTCCCATCAGGTATGCTTCCTATTCAAACTAGACCTTGCGATATTACTTGTGGTAGTTTATAACGTTAGCTGTCAGAATGATAGTGGCTTCAAAGGAACATTCATGTATTTATCTAAACAGTACAGCGCTAACTCTTTATATTGAATATATATCAAAGTTTCCAATAGATTAAAAGACATTATGAAAACCTTGTTATCAGCCATGTCCCCACCAGTTCTTTAAAGATCCAGATTAAAACTCATACTACACGTCCATGTAAATCCTTGTGGTATAAACTGGCGAAGCTCATAAACTCGAACTAAACATTTCTGACATAATTTGGACCAGTTTTCGAATTGAAAAGACTTTTTTCTTCTTTCATTTTTTACTCTGTAGTGCTTATTTCATTGAAGATTATCGATTTGAAAAAATTGACCTGTTAAAACTCGAAATTCTTATCTCCTAAATTTGACGACGATGATCGAGAATATACATACACATGAAGACATTACATCCCCTGTTGTAATGTATCAGGTGAACAGGGTTTTACTATATTTATAATACTGCCTGTAACTGTGTTTATCTAAGGATTAATGATGAAATTACAAATGTAAAACAGCATACATGTGGTACCAGGCTGCACAAATATATTTGTACAATGTTGTTTGGACTTGTATGTACACTTTTGTGTTAGAGACTTTACAAAATAGAAATTGAAATAAATGACTAAAATCTAAATCGCATAAATAGACAAAAATAAGAGAACCGAGGTACGTACCCAGAGGCCGACACCGATCACAACCACGAAGTAGATAACAACTATGAGAATGTCGGCCCAGTGATTGAGGCCTTTCGCCATGTTGTGGACGCAGTGGGTTTTATACACAGAGTTGTCTCCCCGATAGCGCGTACCAGCGTAGTGATGTGAAGATACACAAACATGCGTAATTCAAAGATTTTTTTTCCCCGTCAAATGTATATAGACTTAAACTTGTACACATAAATGACCCGAGAGAATTTCAAGCTAACTCCTCAATCTGTGCTACTTTCCTATCGCCCCAGTGTGTGCTGCTTGTAACACACCCGCTTAGATTTCAGGTAAGTGTAGTCTTTTAATGTAGATATATTAAAGAACACGGCTTTTAAAACATTTGATATGTCACGGGTGATTTTTTAGGGGAAGGGATATACCTAACAATTTAAGGTGTTTAGTTAATGCGTTATAATATCGGCACAAGTGTAAGATTCTATTTATCATACAAGCTGTATTTCTGAAAAAAATATATACAAAAAATACAGTGCTAAGATAAGAAGCCTTAGCTGGAGAGAAATAGCCTTTGGATGGGGTGATGAGGTGCATTTTTCTACATATCCTGTATCCCTCCATACATATGTATCTTGCGCCCCTCATCGGTGCCGATAATTTGTACCCCATCTTTTTGTTGTACATATAGACTGAAGTTAATGTCATTCAGATCTATATATTATATAACAACAGTGATTGATATTATGGTTGTTTTTGAAATGTTCCTGTCATTTAATAAATGACCATTTGACAACATTTCTTTTCACTGTTGTTGTTTTTTGTTCATGAGACATGTACAACAAATAACAAGCTGCAGTCTCTGAGCTGGGTTACCGTGCTAACACAAATAAAAGTTATTTCATGAAATAAATACATTTGTGTTAGATGGTTACTTTATATATTCATGTATATATATATGTATAATTGTCATAATCCTACAGATGTTCTTCACATTATAATGTTATGTAAGTTGGCTCTTGCATGATTTTGTTATTTGGAATAAGATCTTGAACTCTGACCACCTTGTGACCATCTGTTACCCTATGTAGTTTGTATCTCTTGTTATTTGGATGTTATGTGTGCGCACGTGTTAGCTAAGAGGGCCGTGTAGGGCAACTCGCTATGCGGTCACGGTTTTAGCTTGACCAGTCAGAGGGGCTGTTCACATGACCAGCGGCAGTAGCCGTGATGCTAGGCGGTCAGGGCCTGGATTGACCAATCAGCGAGGCGCGCACCTCTTCGTGATTTTGACCGCGTCATATCTTCATCACTCCTCATAATTTTTCTGCTGCTGTGATTACGTTTAATATCTTTCGAAGTCCCACCCATACCACACTCCCACATTTTGTCTTGAGCCAACTTATATATCCATGTTTTTTTTTATGCCGATAATTTGTTCCCCATCTTTTTGTTGTACATATAGACTGAAGTTAATGTCATTCAGATCTATATATTATATAACAACAGTGATTGATATTATGGTTGTATTTGAAATGTTCCTGTCATTTCATAAATGACCATTTGACAACATTTCTTTTCACTGTTGTTGTTTTTTGTTTATAAGACATGTACAACAAATAACAAGCTGCAGTCTCTGAGCTGGGTTACCGTGCTAACACAAATATATATATATATAAATAAAACTATTTCGAGATAATCAGATGAATTAAAACCAGACAAGCCTACACTTTAATTTGACATAACCGATCTTGTAAATGTCTGTACTAGCTAGATATTATCATGAATTGTTCAATGCCATGTTTTAGAGTGTTGGATGTGATTTTTAACCAAATGTGATTCGCTGATGCAAGTGTATTTATATATGATACCGATGAATTGTGACAGTCAAGAATATTAGCGTTTGCAAACATGTATGCACGCGTTCATATTGTTAGCACAAGTAAATCACCGGTAATCTGGTACCTAGTACAATATTATTTGTTAATAGATGTATTCAAATTCAATGTCACCCCCCTTATCTAAACCCTGAACGAAAAAAAAAAAAAAAATGAAGGTCAGACAGTAAGTTAACACCATTACTTTCGTGGGATGGCGTCATAATTGTAGTCATAGTGATTTGAGGATCACACTGTTCTTCTTGATCAACTTCCGTTATTTTAAACTGAAAAAAAACACCTTAACAACACCCAAGATTTTATTAGCATTATTCGCATGAGACAATATATTATTAACGTTTCTTTCTTTTAGCTGTAAATATCAGATTATATGGCTTTGTTTACATGCCCCTTTTAGAGCCGAGTTCATCTGGCGTTTTAGATGGCAGAGATTCTATGGGGAAAACTCATCGTACAAAAGTCAATTGATACATAACTCATAAATGACCCAAACTATAGATTTTTTCTTTATAAAAAAGTTTAAAATCATGCAATCTAATATTCATTCTTGCTATTTTGCTATTTTTTTTAGGATTTTCAGTTTTCAGTTAAACCCGTTAGTATTAACTTGATTTCCAAAAGTCAAATGCGGCATTGAGTAAATGAACAGTGTACTATTTATGAAACTGTTCCCGTTTTGGGTCCTGAGGCGTTAAATTTAACACGGAAAGGTGTATGAAATGTAAAAAATAGCCATTAATATGCCTTTTATGACATTTCTACTAATTGAAAATGACAGAACTTTGCAGAAAAAAACATACCATAACAACCGATATGACTTTCTCGATATTCCAGGAGTTATGCTCACTATTTCACTCTCTGGAGCATTTTATGATAAAATTGAAGGTACCTTGTGCGAAACCTCTCGTACCTGTTTTGGCTTAAAATCGTAATGTACTTAAACCTTTGAACGAATCTCAAGGTCCCATAACGGTATGTGGTACTGTCTTTTGGGTGTCAGTCCTTTGTGTTCTTTAAAGAAGCGTATCGGTTTATGATTGGTCAGGTTTTCTCTCCTCATCCGCATTAGACCAATCAATTTACTTTGCTTTTGCCATCAGATTTGACAAAAACTGTTTGAGGGATTCGCAATGCAATTGGCAATTCCATTTGACATAACTACAAACTTTTATCCTTATATCTGTTCCATATGATTTTACGTTCCATCCGGTATTCGGAGAGAAGTTACAAGACATAAATATAATTTCAAAAAATAAAAGACACTGAAGACATAAGAATGGTAAAATATGTACTATTCTCACACTAGTTAAGTTGCTAACTTTTACATTAACTCTCCATATAATCACAATGGACACTGTACATCAGCAGTCAGCGCAAAGCAAAACAACCAATTGCATAATAAACAAAATCTACTTAGCTATATGAATTTAACGTAAATACAAATTAGAAAAGATGAGGTATATTAAAGACGAGGTTTTATTGTAAGTTAACACAAGATAACGGTTGGTAAACAAATATTTTTACTTGTTTCCAGGAAGCAGATGGAAAGGAAATTAAGATGAGTTTAAAAATTATATATATCTGCTGTCTCTGTAAACGAATACCACCATATATGTTAATTACTGTGGACAGGTTGGTACTCAGTTGAAATATCCCGACAGGAAACAGATAACCATGACAAGTATGACAGCGTTGATGTTTAAAGTTTGGTTAGCACACTTGGACTGATGGACAAATTTCCTTCTTTGTTTTATATCGATATCCGTGACGTTGTCTTCTGAACTCCCACACACAGTAGCTAACATTCTTTTAAACCATGATGACGATGCAGGATCGACTAAGTTGTCCACGTCTGTAAATTAATTAAATAAATCTTAAATGGTCTTAAACAGAGATTATCTGATTAAAAAAAAAAGTTTTTAGCGTTTCCATCTTCAAAAGATGAAAGTTTATTTACGAACAACACGGAAAAGACCTGTAATGATGAAACAGCTGTACGATGAGTTGATTTCACTACTTGGCACTACTGTATATAATTCAAAATTGTACTAAAAGGCGTTCTTCACTTGTGTGTATTTATCTTTATTAAAACGAGATGTTCCGGAATAGAGAGTACAGGCATTTGGAAAAATAATTCCTGATATTTCATGAACGAAAGCCATCCTACCTCCAGGTTGGTCCGGTGTACTCTCATCCTTAGTAGACAGAGATTCACTGAGTTCGCCATCATCGCCTTGTGGTTCTTTGGTGGCTTTGTATTTCGTCCACCAAGTGACACCAATTAGCTATTATAGTTTGATAGTAACAGAAAAAAGATATAGATACAATGTAATTGATAGTTTACCATCTGATGTCCTGTGTATTTCACGAGTATGACAGAATATCTATATATTTAACGATTATGACAGAATATCTATATATTTCACGAGTATGACAGAATATCTATATATTTAACGAGTATGACAGAATATCTATATATTTCACGAGTATGACAGAATATCTATATATTTCACGAGTATGACAGAATATCTATATATTTCACGAGTATGACAGAATATCTATATATTTCACGAGTATGACAGAATATTTCACGAGTATGACAGAATATCTATATATTTAACGAGCATGACAGAATATCTTTATATTTCACGAGTATGACAGAATATCTATATATTTCACGAGTATGACAGAATATCTATATATTTCACGAGGACGAAGCACGAGCAAAAAAATCTTGACACATCTTGTCATTACAGCAGTGATCAGATAGATTAATTCCTATGTTGCATTGACAAAAATGTAATAAAATTGTAAATCATAATTCCTACAATAAAATGTATATATATATATCCTATGTATATAATCTTCAAAAATATGTACGAATGTTTATGTAATACAACCAGGATAATTTTTCATGCAAACATGATACGTATATATAAGACATTCGATAACTGTCTAATCTAATAGCCTGGCGACATCAGAGCTGAATTATGTGAACAAGATGTTAGATATTTTCTATGCTTTTTAATAGGTAATATTCAGAAGGGATTAGACAAGGGTAAGGAATTACAAGCCCCTTATCTAGACAGGCTGATTGATTATGTACTAAAGATAATTAGGTTTGATGAACTTAGTGACGTCGATATCAATACCATCGTATAAGGCTTCACGGACAAGTCAAACAGCACGAATACAAAACACTATCTAAGAGTTGTCTCCCTTTAACATTTATACAGTTTTATACAGATACAGAGAACACTGCGAATGGGTGATATTTAAATCTTAAATTCAATTAGAAATTTAACACGTTCACCGAAGTTATGGGATCTGTATCAACATTTGATGATATCATACTGACCTCCTCTTCTGTCCTTGTTTTGGTGAAGATGCTGATGATTACGATACCGACTGTTGTTATAAAGAGGATGATTACCCCGAAATAGAGGTAGTTAACGGTTAGAACAACAGGACGTGTATCCTCCTCACCACAACCGGGCTGGGGATAAATGAAGTCCAATACAAGACGAATAATTCCACAGATATGTCCCAACATTAAGCCATAGAACGCCCCCTGCAAGCAAGCATGATTATATTCTATTATATTATAATTGTTTGAATCCGAAAGACTAAAATTTGTGTATGTAAACTTGAATTACTGGTTGAATGCCATAAAAATTTAACCCATTTTCAAAGAGATATAATATTTAATTACTATCACTTCTTCGTGTGTACCTTACGTTTTCTGTAGTTCCCTTCCACAACACGGACAGTAAGAAAAGTATCCCATTAGGAGCTCCTAGATAGGCTTCAACGGCAGTCATATACTGGAAAAGTTTGCCACCTTGAGAGGATTTGACCAAGGGAATCCAAAGTATACTGATGCCACACATCAAAGCCACAAATAGTCTGTTCAGTATAAAATTATAAAGCATACCATTAGCATATCAGGTAGGTATTCAAATACTCACTCCACTCCTAAAATTAAAAGTGTTGCTAAAGGCAGTTTTTAAAAGTGACGTGCAGTTAGTATATAAACAGATCTACATTAAATTCTTCTGGTCATACTTTTTATGAACATCATATTTATCAAAATAATATCGGACGATTATGAAAACTTCATCAAAACCAGCAGATATATGAACAAGCGTGGACACTGTATTAGGTTTGAAAAATACAATGTTTGATCGAAACAATCCAAGAACAATGAAAGCAGACATGTTTCATACTAACATTAAATGGAAAAGAAAGTGGAACTATTCCAATTCCTTGTGTCATATGAGGGTACATGTTGCCGAGAATTTTTCAACAATGACTCATTGAAGAACACGTGACACTGCTAACTTTAATTGACCAGAAAGTGTATGGCTATGTTGAGAAGATTATGTGTATTAAACGGAAGACAAATTTGGTCAGATTAACTTCGTTTGAACCTAGCCTTATATCATGTAAAGACTTCACAGTGCTAGATGAATGCTGCTCAAGCATTTCTCGAAACGAGAAAGGAAAAAACAGACTTGTGGGTCTTTTGAAGGGAGTCTCGTAGCTTCCCCACTGAATTTCGATCAGGTACTCCATTGGGTGATATTCAGGGTATCTGGAAAATATCTTGCTACATAACGCACAAACATGACAGCACCAGACACTTTTAATATCAAATTCCAAAGAAACACAAAACGCTCTGGGCTGGGATCGAACCAGACACCTCGTGTCTGTATCTAGGCTCTACCAACTGAGTTATCATGGAAAAACATCAGGAAAATAGAATATTTTTACGTAAATGGCGAAAATAGAAATCTTAAATATTTATATGATGGGCTCAAAAGCAAGTGGATCCCTTGATGTCGCTCAAACACGAATATAAAAGGTTCTGGCTACGATTGTTTTATAATGTCATATTTCAGTCCACAATGATCCAATGATGTATGTATTTCCGAGATATCCCGTCTTTATCGGCACACAGGCGACTGCAAAGTTTGTCTCGCCCCCTATATCTTAGTCTTGTTGAACGCATTTCTGAGGGTGGAAGAGGTTAAAATGATATTTCGACGGAAGCAATATTCTATTTGCCTAGTATGTATCAAAATGCGGACATGTATATCAATAGTATCGTAATATTTTCGGACCGCAAGTCCTTGGTCTTTCGTATTAAAAAGGACAGAAAATTCAACTGTCATTTTTCATTATATATACTTTGACAGCTGTATTGTCATAAGGTCGATTCGAAATCAAAAACAAAATCTTTAATGCATACATAATTTAGTTCTGTTTATGTCATAAAGTTGATTAATAAGAGTAACAGCGAATCTACTTTAATATATATAATTAAATATCGCCTATTTGCTAACTTGTGTAAAGAAAGATATGTAGTTTTTTGTTGAAAGTACAAAATTTCACAGTTAATTAAGTTAAGAGTATTACGAAAAAATGGGAACACGTGAGGAGACCACTGTTTAATATGTTCGACAAGGTCAGTCGAAGTAACTACTTGTCGGCACATTTACCATGTGACCGATCCCCCCATTCAGTTTCTCAGTCATGCGTAACGAACACTTTCGTCTGCCTAAAATTTGTATTAAGGTGAAATATTTTAACTTTTAGAGCATATCTGAATATTGATCGTAAGTTTATGTAATTAAGGTCATTCCCAATGAACAGATAATTAAATCGATAAAGTTATCCGCTATAAACAATATATAAGATAATGATATAAAAGACAGTCGTATTGTTCCACGAATCATGACATTTACAAGGTATACTGATTGTGTTAGACAATCCCGTATACAAAATACAACGATATATACTGGCAGTTAAAAAATGGCAGACATACTTGCCAACAAAAAGTAATTCTCGCTGAGATGCCTGTGTTCTGATCCTGCGCCATATATCCATAGTAAACACAGTGCTGGAGCTGTTGAAGATTGATGTCAGAGAACTCATACTGGCCGACACCATCACTGCCATCAACAAGCCTCGAAGACCTTTGAGATAGTAGTTTGTTACCAGAGATAAATACAAAAAAGGTGTTCTAATACAACGTTTGGAATATGTGTTGTTATATACTACGTAATATTAAAATATTTTCTGACACAAAAGCGGTGGTCTGAAAGACAGTCAAAACTTTATAATGTCTTCTGAGAGACATCATACTTTTTATGAATTGGACGTTCCCACTTTGAAGATCACAAGAACGAAATTAGTAACAAGTTAACGATACAGACTCATTATGTCTCTTATCCTTATACTTACCAAGCGGTAGAAGCCCCAGAACAAGTTTTGGATAGGCAATGTTTGAACAGCCAAGGGGATTGTCGCATATCCGTGAACATTCAACCGGGTCCACACATCCTACTTCGTCTACAAAACACAATATCTAATACAAAACACTATGCTGGTAAATTAGGATTTGCGTAGAGCCTTATGTTCACACCCCTTTTTCTCCAATATTACGAAAGCTCTTGTTTTCGATAGAAGTTACCTCATGAAACTTTAGAATCGACCGGGATGGTATCAAATTCAGTTACGCGCTTACGACTTACTGAAAAACTCAGGGCAATGCGGAACATGATTATTTGGACGGATCATAAAGCAAAGAGGATTGGTAGTTGATGGAAATCATAAAATTACGGACATTTTAGTTTTTGCGATATTATTCAATAAGTAAAACAATAATTATAGAATCCCTCAAAATGGAAATCCTTAAAATTACCCGGAAACATGACTCTGCTGATCATGCCAGGAAAGACGATGAGAAATAGAGGAAGAGTCTTGAGGTAGCCAGCAAAGATTGATCCACCTTTTGCGTGCGACAGGTTCTTGGCTCCCAACGATCTCTGGACTATCACCTTGGAAACGACAAACACGCTTTTTGATTTGTATAGAGAGTAACACTTCAGGTAATATACATTAATATAATATGCAAGAGAAAAAATTTATCTTGTAAAATAGATCGCAACAAATCTTGTTATACTGTCATCGATACAGGCATTACAGAAGGAAGCTGTATACCGTCAAAATGTATGCTCCACTTGAAGGCTAAAGGTGTCACTCATTGAATAACTTTTTCTGAATCGATTTGTTAGAATTATCATACAGTATATTAATGTATAAATGTGTAGTTGATGTAAATGTCTTGCTCTGATATTCATGCTCGAATTTGTTTAATCAACGAAAATGTTCAACAGTTCCAAGGGTCTTTGAATTAAGTGGTTCTACTTTTTAATCGTAGATATATACAGATAATATGAGACTTAAAAGGTCACACAACAAAGTCATGGATTTATAAAATGACGAGTTCTTACCTGGTCACAGCACCAAAACCCCATACAGCCGACTGAACTCAGTATGATAAGGGCAGGCCATGGGTAGTCTCCATCAATGGGGTCTAGAAATACCTGGAAGGCATCCGCTTTTGGAATTCCACAAGTCGTAGCGTTGTTTCGGATCTTTGGAATGGCTTCCATGTACTTCGTTTTCAAAGTGTCTAAGCTGCCTACTTTGCCAAAGGCTATAAATAAGAAAAGTGGCAGTGAGAGCGAGATTATCATCTAATCGAATAAAACAATGGCCACCTATTATATATGGCAAACTAGCAAGCAAAACTGATTAACAGTAGCAAACATATTTTACCATTAACACATATTTTTTTGAAGAGAAGAAGAGTTTTAAGCACTAGGACAAATGGAATGCGATTCGGCGAGATGGCAAATACGTGATTTAGATATTTGTCATCAAAATTTCCTCGTGCTATATTGAAATGAAATATTCTTTATGTAATTGTGCATGGAAATGAATCCAAATGTCAGTAAAAGTAAATATTTCAATCATTCTTTTGAAAGTGTTGCTGAACGTAGATTTAACTAATCGAGGCATAGTTTGCATTCAAAGTGTAAATTTGACTTACCAATAATTGAAATTGACAGAGATCCGAGAATCATGACAGCTGTTTGGAATGTATCTGTATACATTACTGCAGTTAACCCACCTGTAACATGAATATGATATATTACCTTTGAATAGTATCTCATCAGACATCAGGGTACAGCTATGTTTATCATCGATTTTACACACAAAATTAATGTAGCGAAACGAAATGAATCCATCAACTGTGACCCGCCACCTATCGCACTTTTCTCTTCATGCTTTAATAGACATAAAAGTAAGTCATATAACTCGGTTACGAACATCCGGGTTGTGCTGTGCTTCATTCTTCCCACCGTGATGTCTTTTTATCTCTCAGGAACAATGCTTAATAAATCCATAACGGAATTAAATAAGAACCTACTGGTGCTGTGTATCTTATCATAAGTTAATCTTATGTTTAGACCGAACCGCCCATGATAACTTGTTTAATTGTTTTATATTTAACGGGTGCGAAACTGCTTGTAAACTGGAAGTGAGCTGCCGATTTTAATGCCATGTAAAGCGAGTATTATAAAGCATTGTTATAGGAATATAATTTATATTTAATCATTATCTGCGAGTCTAAATATATAAAACGTTTGACCAATTAACTGTGATATATTTATTTAGTAAATAAGTAATTATATCTATGTTGTACATTATTGTCTCCCACCACACCTACTTCTGACAGTATGAGTGATGTTTGATGAGTGTAAACACTCTTGTACGTAATACATAACAATATGAAAAACAAAAGGAATTGCCTTTATGCGTTTGTGAAGTGCTTTCATAACCCAATGATGACCATTGCCGACTGAGGCGATTCTTGGTAGAGTACATAAGTATTTTGATATTGAAAATATTCTGTACTTCTCACCTTCTAATAACACAGATAAGGGGGTGTCAATGTAGATATTCAATGATATACAATTGTATATATTATGCGTAAATACAAAGATATGTTTGTATAATCTTTCACAAAATGCCACGTGTTCTTTTCTGACTTAAATGATGACCTAATAACTTACCAAGAATGGTGTATATTGTCGTAATCAGCAGCAGTACGATTATTGACAGGTATATATCCCAGCCGAGGGTCATCTGGATAAACATGGACCCAGCAAATATACTTCCCTGCAGAAAATGTGTTTATATCGTAAAAAGTATATTTGGTTTTGAGGTTTATTAAAATAGATTATTCAGCTTTAGATTGTTGTTATTGTCCTAAATGAATGCAAGTGATTTCAGAACTTGGCGAACATAATATACGTTAAGTCAGTTACGTGATTTTTCGCTTTTGTTAGTCCAAATCTTTTTTGCTGTTTTTTTGTTTTGTTTTTTTTTATTTTGGGGAAGTGATAGTTTTGATCAAAGATATTTCAAGTGTCGTTATAATTTTAACGTAGATAATTGTTATAATCTACTACATGTTATACTAAGTTTCTTTCCTTTTAAACGCAACAAATTAGCCAAAGGCCGAGAAAACACTATCCCAGATATGTTTGGTGCTGTTATAGTTATATCCATCATTCGGAGTCTCGTTCAGTCACGATCTCATCAAAAATTATGTGTCACGCCTTTACCACACAAATATTCCATTTCAAGATGGTTATAGTAAACACGAGTTGTGCTGGATAACGCTCGTCCAACTTTTGTTATCAGCGCTTTCTTTTCAAAATAAAACAACATGAATGACGGAATAAAAAAAGGGATCGAGTTGAGGGCTGAATACGTTTTCGTCGAGTTTTGTGGTAAGATCTCCCAACAAACTGTTGGCATAATTATCTTATTGGAAATAACTATATCCCTCTTTTGTCCGACTAGAGGCAAAGCTGATCAAAACAGGTCAAAAAGACTTTGCAAAGTTCTTCAATTTCACTTTCATTATGTGGATGATGTGTTGTCTTTAAATAAGAAGAAATTTATTGAACACGCCCATTGTTTATGTCAAGGACACCACAAGTTCGTTTACATTTGCCGTTTATCTCGTTCTTTCATCACAACGAAACCATCTTGGACAACTTTCCACCAAGCTGTTCAATTACCGGAATTATTTAAATTTCTTTATTGTGAATTCTAAATTTCTGGATAAGAACAACCACGCATACCAACTGATGGTGTCGCAGTTGATTTTATATTGAAGGGCATATTTCCCACGATTTTTGTTTAAGATGTCGTCACGTGACAGACAAACTCACAACAGAGGATTTCAAACACAGGTTGTTAGAAATTATAGAAAAGTTTCACAGTCGTCATAGCGATCTTTGTGCGCATTGAAGCTGGATGTGTTTGATGGTTGATGCTCGTTATTCTGCCTGTTGCTTCGGCTGTTGTATACCTTGCTTTCGTTTTCGAGAGCACGGCATTACTTACTTGATTTGACTAAGATTTACCATGCGTGTGTAGTCGATGAAGCATAAGACGTTAATTTTTCCGGAAGACATGGTCTTCTTATCATTGTACATATTATTCATTTGACTCCGTGTAAATCATTCTTCGTTCATATTTTACGCTACAATTATTATCAGGAAATAACTTAATTTTACGGATTAAACATTGCTAGAATCCGGAAGAGCATGTAGGAAAGGATAGCAATTGTTAAACTAATCACGAAAGGAAACATTTCTATCAAAATAATGTACACATTTATAATGTTATCTCATGTAACTCACGGCTAGTTTGGAGATTATATTCAGCACTAGTGCCATACAACATAGATACGTCCTTAACTTCCTGCCACCATGACGTCTCTCTATATACTCCGGAAGGGTGTACACCTTAATGGAAGCACAACAAGGTATGATAGTACAATATGTCGTTTTTTTTATAAATATTAGAAATAATACATAGATCGTCTGAATGAAGAACAAGCACCATGATATATAAGTTTCCGAAAAGCAAAAAATAATATATTGTTTTAAGATGTACAAAGAAGAGAGGTACAAGACAAAAGGAGAACTTAGGCGAACTCCTAAGACTACTACAAATATAGTTTGAAAGTAACGGAAGTGTTGTGTTATCTACAGGCTATAAATTCTGCTCAAAGTAAAACAGCAATAAACAGGAGGGTGACATGTGTTTTTTTCTTTTCTGATGGAGACAATAATAACAACCTACCCCAGCCGATATGTAGACAGGAAGGAATAGCCAGCTACATAAAAGGATCAGAAATACAACCTGTAATAAAACAAAAATAAAACACAAGATTATCACATATGATTAGGAGATTATGAGTTATGAGAAATTTATAACAGAAACCAGAGTGATAAGTTGTTAATGTTTGGACACGGTTGGTGATATAGGGGATGGATGTTTACAGTTTATCAAAAACAATTTCTAGATAGAAATCCTGAAGATTTGAAAGAAAATAAAATGTACATAATCTATAAGTATGAATTTTCATTAATTGCGTACGAGTGATGAAATTGATGTTTTCACCACACAAGAGAAGACATTTACTCAGGTGTCATCAAGATACAAAGACCATCGTATATATATATATATATATATTCCTCATACTTAATTGATGCAACTTCGAGTTGGTCACTTTATCAGCATTACTTCGTGAGACCACATACAGAGGTTTCTCACTAAGACTCAAATCTCCAGGATCAATGCAATACAGTAAAGGTTGCTTCAATTTTATAAGGAACGTATTATTATAATTTTGACCAAGTTGTCTTTTCTCACGAATGTCGCCATGCTCTTCTGGAGAAATTGATATTTTCATTGCAAATACTGTCATATGACTCAATTAGATGTGAATGAAAATACCAATTCTTATTATTTTCACAAATGTCAAATGACATATATTACTGCGAAAAATGCACTGAAAAATATTTGATACACGAAAAGTTGAATGTCTGAACAGCTTGATACAAAACTAATAAACATACAAGATCATAAATATACATAAAAGATCATAAATGTACATACAGGTACATACATTTACATACAAGATCATAAATGTACATACAGGTTCATACATTTACATACAAGATCATAAATGTACATACAGGTTCATACATTTACATACAAGATCATAAATGTATATTTAAGTGGCAGTCAGTACTTACGAACCACTCATATAAGACCATGGCTATACCCGAGGATGCCCCGGCTCCCGCCAAACCAACAAAATGTTCACTGCCGATGTTGCTGGAGAACAATGAGGCGCCGACCTGATCAAATAACGAAAACATACAAAAAGCAGGTAGGAAAATTGTCTAACTGATCAAATAACAAAAAATAAAAATTCACAAATGCATGTAAGATAATATTTCTGTTTCGCTGTGATACAGGTAGTAAAGTAAAATACAAATGTAAATGATTTACAAACATTTATAACTTTTTTATCTATAAAGTACGTTTCATATAATAAGTATTTAATACGCCTTCCGGATGATTTGGTTTTACATTGGACACGCACTCACATATAACACTAAATAGTTAAATGATGATTGCAGTAGTTTTATCATATTAATCTTTAATTAACTTCAGCACTTGGGAGATTGCTAACTTGTATATTTTGTGTGCGTTTGGAATGTTTCCCTGTAACTCCTTTTCTGTACTTTTTGTACAACTGTCATTGCCATAACGTTTGCCTTTTTTCAGACCAGAACATACAACTGCTTTGGTTGCACAACACAATAACGATCTGTAGAATTTGTTGTTGAACACATCATATGTTTACATGTATTCTTTTTACATAGATGGTATAATAATATATGTAAATAAATTATCTAATATTTTCATACAAGAGTTACAAAAGACATTCAAGGGAATAACACCTTTAAATACATATTCATAATTAGATATTGTATAGACAAATAATAAGTTAAACTACATCATACAACTGTTTTGTCCTTCTATTATGCCAGGAATCTAAATTTTGAAAACTAGGACTAAAAAGGGGAAAAATCGATCGAAACAAATTTAGACAGCGAGTTGCACAACTAGCACCATACTTTGTAATCAGTAAGTATCTGATAGTTTCAAAAGAATATCAGATATGTGTTTAAAACAATCGACATATAGAGTGCACGTATTGATCAAAGGAGGAAGTATCCCACTGTTTGAATAGAGACTTCCTGATAACAGGTCTTGAAAGCCAACAAGTTAAAACAACTGGCAGTAGATAAATATGAGGCGTAACTACTTTAGGGAGATAAATACTGATATGTAATCAATAAAATATATTACAAAATGGAACGGGAATGGATCGAAAGACAAGCAGTACGATACTGATAAACTGTACATTGTTACCTCCACAGTAGTGGAATTCATTAAAACGCTGACAACGTCGGAGCATAACAATGGCCGTGTCCATTTTATTGCAATACTATTATGATAATTCACAATGAAAATGCACCTGTTTTTTTTTTACATCCCTTCCATAACAGTGTGTTGCAACATACTGTCGCTCACCACATTTGAGGTAACAAGAACCAATTTATTAAGGACTTTCGACTCGTCACTCACATATACATTGATATGAATAGCAGGCGAATCAACATTTGAATAGGGTTATGTAATCATCTTAAGGCACATTCTCTACTCTATACACATAAATGATCAAGGGAAAATAAGTTATCATAGATAAGAATAAATGTTATCACCTAATTCAATTACTCAAATATTCAATAAAACGCGACAGGTTATTCTGGTTGGGTGATACGTACGGCAAACCAAGGCATAGACCTCCCGGCAAGGAAGTAACTCTTAACATTGCCTCTATTCGGTCTCCGAATGGACTGCAATTACAAAGTAACAATATGAACTTGGTGTCGACCATGACTTGAAAAGAGGTAAAGACAAACATTTTTAACAATGTTGTAGATAGTGTTTTCCCAATGGAAGATGAGATGGTACATTTGCTGTCTCCACTAAATCTTGATTAAATCAAGGTCATAATACATATTACTGTGACGTAACTATGTTAGAATACTGGGGCCGTTCCCATTAGAGAAAGCAATACTATATCACAGCTCCAAATTACCCATACATTGACTCGCATGACACCAAAGTTAGTATAGTACAAGACAGTCCGTTATCCTCAAGGATACTTACCCACAGTCCAACGCCGATATCGATGACAAAGTAGACAACGACAATGAGAATGTCGACCCAGTGGTTGAGACCCTTCTCCATGTTGTAAATGTTGGCACTGAATGAATTAATGAGAAAACAACAGGATCATTTCCGGTGAATGGATTATCTGACGATTTTATAAATAACGTTAAAAACATGATACACTCAATTAACTGATATAACATTTTCGGGAAAGAAATATTAACAATGGTTTTAATAGTCCTTGTTTGTATTAAGGAACGTTTGGAGAGAAATTGTATTACTTATGCTAGGTGGTATGATAATCCAGGAGAAACGAAAATCACCATTTTGCTTGCGTTTATATTTTCCTACCTAAGAGTAAACCATATATCTAATGGTTGTTATCACCTATAGCCCTGGTTCCTTTTATTTGTCTCCTGTGAAAAGAGGTTGATACAAAGTCATGTGTTAATGCCAATCATGAAACTGTACACTTTAATTGAAATATTTATCACGTCGTCAATGTGTTTTAGATTATGAAAATAGTTCAATTTTATCAGGTTAAAATGTGTCCCTTGCAAAATATGAAAGCACAAACACAGTACACACAAGTTTTGCGTGGTGCACACATACTGATAACGTTGGTGGAGATATTCTATTCATTCACTTGAAGTTTCAGTCGCTATACGCAATCCATCATTATGACTTTTATCGTAACCGTTATGAAAAGAACAGTAAATGATATTTATGTTCACGAGACCATGCATTATCTAGGTAAAAGTCTGCGTATCTATTCTCCTATAACCAATGATTAAATAGCAATATAAAATGGAAAAGCAATATGAATACATTTCCAGCCCTTCATATCCGTCATTTCAAAACTTCCCAACATTATAATAAATAGGTCTTATATTATGAACATTCTAAATGAAGTATCCTTGATTCTTTGAACTTCACGTGTAGTTATTTACATGTTATTAGGATAAGACATACATAAAAACAAATCTTGAAAATATTTATCAATAACAGCAGTGCTCCCCGCGTGGCTATATAGCCGCACTGTGCACCCGGTTATTTTCCAATCGCCTGGTTATATTTTCATTAGCAACATACATGAACTGACATGAATGTCTTGTATTTTTTTCCATTTGATATATTTAAAAGTGAAATAATAACATGCCATTGCCTCCAATTATTGTCATTTCAGTCATGATAAACAATAACTATGATGAATTCAAAAGTAATAATCTAATCTGTATTATTATTATTTCTTTCGTTTTTCATTTTCTTAATTTTCTTCGCGCATATCAGAATATATGTACCCCGTTATACTTCCCAGCTTACATGAAATTCTAGGTTACTTCTTTACAGGGAATATTGAATACTCTTAGTTTTTTTGTTGGACATCTACAAACGAATAGATATGTTGACCCCTCCTTCCCGTTTAAATATCAGGAGGGAGAATGTCTATATATAAGAATGTTGATTAAGAAAGTCTTTAAAAATTCACTTGAGTCAATTCATTTATCTAATCAACCTCTCCGTGTAAATGTTCCTTTAACAGTCTCTATGTGTAATGGAAGGTCAAGCTAAATATACAGCTTCAAGCTCCTCACGACACCAATGTTGGGACGGGTGCGGTTAAGCTAATCATTTTGTTTGTCACTTTCTCTAATAGAGGCCAACGTCCATGTTACTTTTCCTAATGAAGTGGCGATTTCTTATCAGCCGCAGTTTTAGTGAAATAAATTAATCCGGCGTATGTCAATTTGAAAAAAAGAGTCAATTAGACAATTTATCGAGGGAATGGTATTCAGATCCTTAGTCCCTCAGTAATGCCCTTTTCTTTTAAAGAAAGGACTTAATGATTCCGCTTTTGAATAATAGAGAAGATAGTGGCAAAGGGCGCGATTCATTACACAGGGTTAAGCAGGGGTTTCGGAAATAATATGATCTTGACAATAAGTAAGAAAGTAAAACTTTTTACGGAGAGGCCTTTACATAAGAAGAAGAAAAAGAAAAAGAAGAAAACGAAGAAGGAAAAAAAGAAATACATCAAGATATACTTACCCTTTGGTTATAATGCTGTAACATAGGTTAAAACATCCAGCTTGTCGCCAAATAAACAGGCGTCCCGCACGGAGCTTTCAATGGGGTGGATCGACGAAGCGTGTAGACATTCACTACGGTACATAGAAATAATCATATATTTTAGACATACTTGTACCACATTTATGGTCTGCATGGGTTTAGGGAAAGTTCAAGGTACCAAATAATTTACGCGAAATATACTTTGTAATACCCTATAATCGTTAAAAAAGCCATAAATTCTACATTAACGCAAATATTTACACAAGGATAAACCCTTAATATAAAATCTATGTTATGTGCTATTTTTGTTGAGATTTTTCATTTCTTTTATTTACTTTCGACAATTTTCGTAACGTTTAATATATTCCATAATTATATATTTTATAATTACTAAAGGAACAACACCAGTGTTGATGTTTTTATCACATTCTCAATCCTTACAAGGAGTTATTTCGCAATACTGCTTTGACTGCTGATATATCTGATGTTTGACGGCCTTTGGAAGTTTAACCTGTGAGAGAAAGCGAGGCATCGACCACTTGCCTATTCTCTATTCATCTTGCATGATTAAACCCAGTATGAACTAGGGGAACTGATTTATATTCGTAAGATCATTATTGCTTTATTGCCGGAAGGATAAACGTGAAAATTGAGGTGAAAACCACTCGTCATGGACGTATCAATGGCGTCATTTTCACTGTTGATTTAAACAGTTTACAACTATAACAGGATATGAGCTTGGCTTTATATCCATTGTAGTCAGATTACAGTTAAGAACAGGAAAAAATAACATATGTATTCATGGAAATTAATTAAAGGAAATGAATATTGCTAACGTGGTTGGTCGATCCTTCTAGACTAATGGCAAAGGATGGGTTATTATCGAATCGACAAATGAATTTGAGCCAATATACTCTTAAGAACTAACAAATAGCATTATACTTAGATCATCATATGGTCGACAAACTTTTGACATCTGCTAGAATAGCTGAAAATAAAATTGTGTCCCATATGTCGATTCCTTACTTGATGTTGGCGGTGTATTCTTAAGGCTTTAATAGTCGTTTGAACCAATTGTTATATCTCTTGCGTAATGTTCAACTCAGCTTCTAGGATTTGATAGTACTAAGAATGATACTGATGAAGGTTCGATGAAGGTTAAGCTGAGCAACTAGACGATCCAGCAAAAGCATTGTTTATATGGATTCTTGTTAAGTTTAGAAATCCAATATAAACAAGGAAGGCCATAACCTTATTTCTAATTGCAATATTAATTATTGTAATATTGAAGCGTGATAAGTCGGTATGAAGAGTTTTTCCTTTGTTAAGGAGCAAGTGTTGGTTTTGTTTATACAGGAAATTATTAGCTGCCTTGTCTTCAAGCAAAATGTCATACCGACTTCGTTGATTTTTTTTATTTCAAGTTGCGTATTATTTTAAGAATGATTGACCGAATGAATTGATATGAAATTTGAATCAAACTCGTGATGTTATCGGTTCATCCACACTCTGGCATAGTTTGGCGCGGCATCCATTCGAATTTTGGAATTTACATTAAAAAATGGAAGGAATGCACAACATTTTGGGCCCTTCATGAAAAGCTCTAGTATTTAAAAGTGACATCATGGTAAAACCCTAATTCTATTTATTGATTTATGTGTTTTATATGCTTATAATTACGGCTCTATGCTATCCCAATATTCACATTTGATTTCAAATGTCCAGTTTGACCAATGATTTTATTCGGTAAAACTAGATCTAATAATATCAAATCACAGATTTGAAAACGAGACAGTTTATACGTACACACACATATGATGCGACATCCGAATTCGTTTCGAACGATTAGACGAAAAAAGTACATATACAGACTGTCGATCAAAAGCGAGAATTCATTTTATTATTACTAAATAACATCTTCAAATACATATGTCAACGAAAACCGACTGGATGGCATTGTTCAAATCGTGATTCACTTAATATATATGCAATAATGAAACACACTTTAATAATAGAAATCTTTTTACCATGAAGTCGCTTTCACTATTTGGATACTGCATTAGTCGCCGGTTAATACATATATATTCCCATAACGAACATACTTATAAGGAGAGGTAGAACAAGAACGTGTCACAGAAGTACTTATACATTTACATTCATGTTTGGCTGCATTGGATGCAGTGGAATGTTTGCTTGAACAAGATTTTGGTGCAAAAATATTACTGATATTAATACGGCCAATCCCCTATTAGATAAGTCAAATTATATAATTTGCCGGGTTGCTGAAAAATTGTGGCTATCCGATCAGACAGGCTTACAAGTCTGGTTTATGTTACATCACCAATAATTCTATGAAGACTCCATGCTTGTTTCCAAAGGTCTCCAGGACAAGAGTATGAATTAGTTCGACTAACATTCGCAAGTTTTCGAGATACAGAGAACGGAAGCAAATACAACGTAGATCACACATGATGGACACCTTATGCATTCTCTGAAGTCTTAATCAAATCTTCAAACTTGACATTGTATCCTCTAGATGTATTGTAATATCGCTGCCTGTGGCCACGATTACATCCCAACATGCTGTAAACATTAGTGTAACAACATCACCTTTTTGCCAAGTTATTTTTGTATAAAGCTCTCATGTTTTATATTTGTATATCGCTCCCTCTCTTGTTCTCTGTTTCTCTGCTCAGATGATTTAAAACACGTACTACATAACTTAATTAGTCCAAATATAGGTAGGAATGATAATTATTTGTAAAAAGTTTGAAAAAAATCACCATACATTTACTTACCCTGCACTGATAATCAAGTCACCTCAATCCAGCCATACAGTACATCAACATATAGATAAGGGACCCGCATAGAGCGTCAGTGGGTGGGTGAACGAAGCATGAAGGCATTCACTACGATACGTAAAGGTAACTATATGTATTTTAAACATGCGTACACCACCTTTGTGTTCTGCATGGATTGAGAGAAAAGAGGTAGGCCAAACAACTCACAAATATGTCTGTATTAACCTCTTTAACCATTTGAGTTTTATTCAAACGTAAACACTACTATAATAATTTGTTTTTGTTTTGTTTTGTAATAAGATATAATACATTAATTCCATATGTTATTTTCCATAAAGAGTCTTAGGAGTCTAGTTTTTGTACTCATTTGCGGGCAATTCTGGCTTTAACTTAATCCATAATGCTAATTAATGGCAAGTTATTAAATGCTAAATTGGTTTCGTCAGTTTTCTTCAAATTCATTATATTTTGCCTAAATTACTCAAGGACAACAACCACTCTTGTACATGTTTTTGTTACAATCTCTTTTTTATAGCAGCGTTTAACAGGTAAGAGAGAGTGAGACATCAGTCATTTGCTGTTTTCCCTATTTTCATGAATGGTTGCGTGATAAACACAGTTGAAAGCTAGGGAACTGGTCAACCCCATGTATCAATGACATGGTTGTTTATGTGGTATTTGACCAGTGGATATCATCTCTACTTCACATCTATCGAGTAATGGAGTGTGTTACGCTAAGAAAGCGGAAAATGTATCAGTATAACATGGATAAGTCGAAGTCAACATGGATAAGTCGAAGTCAACGGGACCAAATAAAATATTCGACTTATCCGACTTGGCCGTGTTTCAATGCACGGATATATTTTGACATCAAAGATTGACATTAATTTCATCGGTTGTTTACTGGATACGTGTCTCATAGCATGGCGTGACCATAATAAATAAGTAATAATTAAAAAAAAGTTATTTTACTCACTAAGGATATATTTTATTTTGATAAACATATATAGTTACGAATATTTGAAACGATATATTCATTCATCAAAACCAATTAAAAAACGCATAGCCGTTAATGGCGATAGACAAATGATGAAAGTAAGCTCCAAAGGAATCAATATCAGAGACTACACTTCAATCAGGACATCGGTTCTACAACCTTTTTTTTTTACTTTTCTACTTACATTATTGCGTCCTCTCATGTCGATTCCTAGCTTGACCCTGGCGGTGTAACGAGATATCTTTCCTTTCACTTGAGCTACAATTGATTTTTGTATCGCACTACCTGTCACGGAATTTATAGTATAAACGTCTCAACTGTACAACTGTACGTTGCTGGTCTTCCATCAGATGATTTAGACAATTTTTATGAAGATTTTTCCTAAGTTCTGTATTGAAAAATATTTTTATTTATAAAAAAAAAATAATATTTAGCATTACATTACCTGTAATTTAACTTTAGAGAGTGCATTTTAAATACTTTTATTTTCTTTGTAAACGCAATATACTATGTGTAGTAAAATGGTGTTGACACATTGAATTGAAGTATATATGTAATAGTACATAGGGAATGCTGTGTATCGATGAGTTCTTTAGAAGGTGAATTAATGATTTTTCTTCAGAATCTACTGCATAGATGTGTTTAATTCAGAACGTTCCCAGATGTGTATGTATAGTCGATTTACACGTTTTTGTTTTGGATAACATAATAAATCAATTAAAGTCGACTTTTCCAGGTTGTCATGGAAAACAACGCGCTATCAAGAGCAAACCCGTTCTTAAAGGATGTTGATGGACGCCTGTATTTGCTATCAGTGCATTTTAAAAAAATATTTTTACAGAAATCTGAATAAACACTTTCAATGCATTGAATACATAGAGTGCATCCAATGTAATACATTGCATCTTATCCAAGAAGTTTCTGAGGCTCGTCGGTATATAGAATGTGAATAATTAATAAAAGTAAAAACCGACCGAATCCTTGACTCATTCATCATTGATATACCCGATTTGTATTAGTTAATGTTATATAGTTTATGTTTATTTTAAAAGACTGTCAGACAAGCTTATAAAGCGTCTATAGACCACCGTTCATGTGTGAAGTGTGCTTTGGTTTGTAAAAAATACAAATGAATCAACATTTTCTATGTGAACTACTTGTGTTATTTTACATATCAGATTTGTTTTTAATGCGTAAAAGTAAAGCAAAATGAGACTACATGTATTTATGTATGACGTAAAGACGAAATGGTGTTAGAGGCGCATTATATAAAAGTTTATGGAGGGCACTTGCACGGGTCATGATTATAATTATAAGTGAAATAATAGTTTCTTTGAATAAATATTGTTCTTAAAACGATATATCGCGTCGTTTGTTGTTTTCCCATTTTTAATGTTTACGTTAAAATCAAACTTAAGCCTTTGGATGGGGTGATGAGGTGCATTATTCTACATATCATGTATCCCTCCATGCATATGTATCTTGCGCCCCTCATCGGTGCCGATAATTTGTACCCCATCTTTTTGTTGTACATATAGACTGAAGTTAATGTCATTCAGATCTATATATCAAATAACAACATCGATTGATATTAGGGGTGTATTTGAAATGTTCCATTTGATAACATTTCTTTTCTCTGTTATTTTTTGTTTATAAGATATGTACAACAAATAACAAGCTGCAGTCTCTGAGCTGGGTTACCATGCTAACACACACACACACACACACACACACACACACACACACACACACATATACACACACACACACACACACACACACACACACACGTACACGTCTCTTTCTTTGCTTAAATATGGTATTGCAGATCTGTATATAAATCATTATTAACACTGTCAATATGGTAACATGGTAATATGGTAACATTAAGGCTTTGGCCAAAATACAAAACGAGGTTACTGTAGATGTTGGCCTTCGCCAAAATTCCATGTTCGTTTCATTAGTGTTGTGGTCATTCTTTATCAAGTAGTGTTTTTTTTAAACAAAATGCTAGACAAATAAATACAAAAATAAATGAATAAAAAGGCAACTGTTCCGAGGAATTTTTAAGATCAGTTTGTTTAATTATCAAGAACACAAGGTTAAATTTCAACACCCAGGATAATATTTCTACAAACTCAAACGAAATTTTGAATTCATGTATTTCAAAATGTAACACACTGAAGTAGATGTTTAAAAAACATTTCCTTTCATATGAATTGTGAACAAAACTAGAGCAACCAGGTCCTCAACCAAAGGATGGAAATTAAACTAAGTATATTTCGATTTCGATATAATGCATATGCAATGTGCTGGAAAAAACATATGAAACTGCTTACCAATGTTGACTATTACCTTATCAACCAGCGTATTATATATCGGTTGTCACGTTCCGGCAGTCATGGGACTTGCTATTGACACCCAAATTAGAATGCTTGGTTCATTATTCACTGGATGAGCTACAGACTGTGCTTAATAGAGGTAACTTTAATGCAAAATGTAAAGTAGACGTGTGTAAATAGGATTTTCTCTGCGTATCAATGTCTACAAAGCACACCTTAATCTGTTACAATTATTCATTGTGGGCCGGTTGTGTGATTCTATATATCTGCCATAGTATAACCTCAACATATCTGTGGAGGTAATCATTTGTAAACCACGGAGTATACCGTGTTTAAGTTACTGAAACCAACCTTCCGATTTAGTTAAAATATCCTGACAAAAAACAGACAACCATGACAAGTATGGCGGCATTGATGTTCAGAATTTGTTTGGCACACTTCGTCTGATGGAGAAATTGTTTTCTGTGATCGATGTCGATTTCTGTCACTTGGTCTTCCGAGCTTCCACACGCTATATCAAGCGCACGTCTATACCAGGGTGTAAACTCGTGGTCGGCTTTATTGTCTACTGCTGCGAAAAAATAAAAAGACGGTGCCGGCATACAATATATTGTTCAAAGAAAAAGAAAATATGACGAAACAGAGTGTTTAAAAACCCAACGGAAAGTTGACAGAAGGTGCTGATTAAATTACTTCAAACCATGATATCTCAATGAATACATTTTACCTTCAAGCTGGTGTGTTGACCGACATTCATCGTGGTTTTCCTGGTTAGAAAGCGATTCGGTAAGTTCAATACCAGAATCTTTTACTTCAGTGTCTGGCTTGTATTTTGTCCACCAGGTGACTCCAAGTAACTGCATATTTCGTATAGTAAAAAAAAACATTTAAAAAGTAATTCAAACAAAACTCGTCTCAAAGGAAAGGGAGTGTGTATGTCTTTACTTCGTCTATTACTCGATACTCAGCTGCTACTTTTACAAGCCTTTAATTTTACTTTTGAGATTTTCATTCGTCGCCTCTAAGATGTCACAGATTTGTACCTTAGTATCACTGACGATTCTCAAAAGGACGAAACAGCTATTTTGTGAAGTTTGAATGAATTATTTGGTCATTATAATGTTTTCTCTCTCTAATAGCTCCTATTTATTTGTGTTTCTTTTTCACAATCACTAAAAATATATTTTGGTCTGTTTGAAGGAATCTAGTTATACAACACTGACCTCATCCTCTGGTCGTCTCTTGGTCACTAAACTAATAAGTATGGTGGCAACCGCTGTGATGACGAGTATGATTACACCGAAGTATAGGTAATTGATGGTAAGAAAGGCAGGACGCGTATCTTCTTCTCCACAGTTAGGCTGGGGGTAAACAAACTCCAACACCAACCGGATGATTCCACATACGTGACCAAATACCAAACCCCAGAATGCCCCCTGCAACCAATCACAGACACCGTACTAAATCGCATATGACACAGATCTACTTTTGTCTTAGCGCAAGGACATTGTATCAAGTAATTGATTTTAATATTGTAATGTGCTTTTCCATGGTTATCTGTTTTCATATCAAATCTGTTTCTACATTCTGCACTTCTTACATTTTCTGTTGTTCCCTTCCAGAACATCGACAACAGGAACAGAATCCCCGTAGGAGATCCGAGGTATGCTTCCATTGCTGTCATGTACTGGAATAGTTTCCCGCCCTGAGAGGACTTGACGAGAGGAATCCATAGAATACTGATGACGCACATTAACACCACAAACAGTCTAAAGAACGGGAAAATGAGAAGGAAGTATTCACAGGAGTATTTATACTCACACAGACCTTTTCAAACGTTCAAAAGTAATTGTTTCCATGTTGAAAGTGTTTTTAATGTACTCCGTAAATGCCAGACTGACCTTAACACAAACTTTGTATAAAAAACCTTCAGGAACACAAGTTCAAAGTGATATTCTCATGTCAATGCAACGTCTTAGGGATTTTGTGTGGGTATGACGTTGATAAAAGTAATTGTTTGACACCTACCTGCCAACAAGTAACAATTCTCTCTGAGATGCCTGAGTTCTGATCCTGCGCCATATATCCATAGTAAACACAGTGCTGGAGCTGTTGAAGATTGATGTTAGAGAACTCATAATGGCCGACACCATCACTGCCATCAACAAGCCTCGAAGACCTACACGTGTATACAATAGCCATATAATGATAAAAAGAATATCGAGAAGATTATCAGTTATGATGGTAAAAACAATATATTATATGATATCGATTTCGGAACAGGAATATATGACAAAACGTAATATGAAAATACTAGGGAAGATAGCAGAAATCTTTCTTTTCTAGTACCTACCAACCGGAAGTAGCTTTAGCACCAGTGTCGGGTATGCAATATTAGAACAGCCGACTGGATTGTCGCATATTCGGGAGCATTCGTCCGGATCTACACACCCGACTTCATCTACAAAACAATATTGCTAATGCCAATACCATGATAAATGCATATATAGGGGCTACAAATTAAAACACGTGTTGATTTTGTATACTGTGATGAAAATGTCTATTCACGTGTTACAACAGTACTCCTTCTGAATGGTTTGAATTTATTTACAAAATGAATGTGTCGTGATAATTTCTTGAATTTTTTCCTCCCTAACCTTAAGATATGATGTTTAAAAGGAATTGACAGACTTAATTGATCCATTGATATAATACAATCTGGATAGCTTAAAAAAGGCTTGCAGTAGACCTGCCCATTTGCACATTTATTTTTAGATATCAAGACATATTAGCAAAGTATTAATGGTAATAGAGGCAATAAAATAGGATATGTAACATTGTTCAAGTAAAATAATAGAAAACTGAAGAGTAATTCTTAAGCATTATGTTATTGCTGTCAGGAATAGGAAACGGTTTAGTATGTAATTACATGAAAGAAACACGCAATCATATATATGAAAACAAACCTGTAATAAATGCGATGCTCAGATTGCACACTCTACAACACTTATGGAGTATATCTGAGCTAGTGGGGACATGCTTAAGCAATACGATAGGGCCAGTACATGTATATATATATCGCATGTAAATTACATCCTTTTTAAAAACAATCATATAGACATCTAGTGATTGCAGATTAACAAGGTCATAGATGTTTACCAGGAAACAACGCCCTGCTGATCATGCCAGGAAAGACAATGAAAAAAAGGGGAAGAGTCTTGAGGTAGCCGGCCACAATCGAACCACCTTTGGCGTGGGACAGGTTCTTAGCTCCCAAAGACCGCTGAACAATCACCTTCAAAATAAATAAATACGTTTGGTTGTTCATCAGGGAAGTTATATGCAACGAACCTAATATTACATAAAGTATATTTCTAGTTGTCGAATATTATCCCAATTACTCATTTACTCAATATATATGAAATGATAAATGATGTTAATTTGAATGATTCACAGATTGCCTAATAGAACAAAGCATATCCGTTCACTTTATCTGATAATTGTTCAGTTGAATTTCGTAAAACGCTTTATTCACTATCCCAAAACCTCCATTATTTGAAAAATCATAATTGTATATATCAACGACTTTTAAAAGAGGAGTGGGAAAGAACTCCTTGGAACACGAGATTGCAAGACGATTTGTTTGTAATAAATTTATGGTGAGGTTTTTAATGTAACCACTAGAACATCTTTTGCTCAATAAAAAACAAGTTATCAAATACAGATCAATTTCCGATGTAAAATGTGAACTGTATAAACATAACTTTCAGTATGTGTCCAAGACAATTCAAATGTGTTTGAAATCTGTTTAAAATGCTACATTCTTACATTAATAGAACATTTACGAGGATAAAACAATTTTGAACAACTAGATCATCAAAACCGATGAAGTACTAAATTGTGATTTTCCTCCAGCAAATATTTATAGTTAAACTCTGCACACATTTGAACAGAACTAGAGGCATCAGATTCCTCTGCTGTATGTTATTTGTCCCTACCTGGTCACAGCACCAATACCAAAGACAACCGAGTGAGCTCTGTAGGACAAGGCCAGGCCATGGATAATCTCCATCGACAGGGTCAAGGAATACTTGAAATGAATCCTTCTTCGGTATACCACATGTCGTGACATTGTTTCGGATCTTTGGTATGGCTGCCATATATTTCGTTTTTAAAGTTTCCATGCCGCCAACATTCTGAAATCCTGTCACAATGGACTGAAAGTCAGCATGTTGTACACAGGAATTATATATCAGAATTCAGTTAAATCATATTTGCATTTTGATTTCCTTCATGTGGAGAGATGTGTGACAATATCTATTTCTATTTTCTTTTTGTGAGTAAACCTCTTCATAATACATAAAAGTACCCTAACTTCATTTCCGTGAAATATGAATTCAAAACCCGTTTTAATTATCACGATTACTGTGATCGCGATCTGTTCATGGAAAAACCTGCAACACTAGATGATCAGACTATAAGTCAATGAAAAAAATGTTAATATCACCAACACATCTCTCTACGATATTACAACTAAAGATTTTTCGTGGGTTCTTGAAATGTTTGATACCTTTCTTGTCGCTTTCAAGGTTATATTCTTTTTGAGAATGGGACAATTTTCTTGATCTTACTTAATCTGTATAATTGACGCCTACATTTTCCCGTTACATCTCTAGACTTTATCACTCAATACTGTAAGTGTGGCTATGCATATATATTTTCATTTCACTCACATTTCATTATTTCGGGACAGGAATATTAAAGAGTGATAATGATTTATCGAAATTAACATCTTCAGAGTCCTGATATGAGGTGATACTGGTCTGATAACTGGAACAAACTTTATCTGATATCTCGGATAACATACAAACATGTTTCTGTATGTTGCCGCAACTAAAATTAACAACTTGACAAACAAGCTCTGTTGTCTTACCGATAACTGTGATGGAGAGAGACCCGAGAATCATGACAACTGTTTGAAATGTATCTGTGTACATCACTGCCGTCAATCCACCTTTCAACATAAATTATACATACTCATTTGAACATGCATTGTCAGAAAAAGCAACTAACAAGACTCTATGGAGCAAAGCTAAAACAATACGATGTGGTATTTTATCGTCTACAAAGAACAAGGACAATGTGTCATCGGAAATGACATATTTCTCTAATTGCTTTCTCTCATAACCGACATATTTCCAACTATATTTTCTGCGTTTACGTGACAAAAGGAAAAGAATTTATAAATGCAAGTACATATGATGCGTATACCAAAGAAATACATCTCAGTGACTAAGACCCTTATCGGTTAAATTGATGGATACATATGCAGTGTACAATATATGTGTATACTATTAAATAGTACACATCCTTCTCTCTTACAACAGGTAAATATTCTACTTACCGAGGATGGTGTATATCGACGTTATAACAAGCAATACAATAATTGACAAATACATATCCCAACCGAGGGTCATCTGGATAAACATGGAACCAGCAAATATGCTTACCTACAGAAAAAAAAGAGGGGAAAACAACTCTTTGTCACACCTTTGGCTTCTAAATTCGTAAAGGAGGTATGGTTTAGCGTTGATATCATTTACACCTTCTCTGGCGGTTTAATACAGATTCTAGCCCAAGAATTAGCACTGGGGATGAATTGTTTGAAGAAAACAGCATAAGGAAATAACTAACTGAAAACGCATCATTTAGAACTCACGGCAAGTTTGGTGACAATGTACAAGATAAGGCCAATACAACATAAGTATGTTCTCAACTTTCGCCCTCCATGTCGTTTTTCGATGTACTCCGGAAGTGTATATACCTACAGACAAGCAGAAAAATGTTTTATTGTAAGAGACCTGAAGACTATATGCTTTAACTTAATGAAACAGCCAGATTTCATATTTGACAACCTAAAGAATGCCTTTGAAATTATCAACCTACCCCAGCCGATATGTAGACAGGAAGGAACAGCCAGCCACATAGAAGAATCAGGAATATAACCTGAAATTAACAAAAACGTCAGGGAAAAAAAATTTCTGAGAACTTTTGATTAATCACATCCGAATTATATTGGTATCGATTAGAAACATGATTAGACTATGTAAAGTCAGTCGATACTAGGATTACGATTAGAATTTATTATAGTATATTACCTATAAAATTAACAAGGAATATGGTTAGAGTATATTATAGTCAGCGAAACATCCAACCCACCCGCACTCACAAATATATATATATATATATATATTATCCAGGCATATCAAAATCAGTCGCTACAATCAATTTTATACCATCAGATAGAACATTTCATTCAAATCACTGTTGCTACTTAACAGACACCGTGCTTATAATCAAACTATACATTAAAACATCACAAAGAAAATTGATCAGATTAAGGGCTGATGTATGTTTAAAAGAAACTAGTGTTACCTTCAAATATGTATGAAAATAAGTGGCTTATCTGTTATATCATCTTGTTTCGACAAGCGACAAGTAGTCTGCCTGTATAGTCGTCACATAGCGTCACATACTTACAAACCACTCATACAAGACCATGGCTATACCCGAGGACGCCCCGGCTCCTGCCAAACCAACAAAATGTTCACTGCCAATGTTGCTGGAGAACAACGACGCGCCAACCTCATAAAAAAGACATAACAATGCCAGAAAATATCGGTGAAATCGTCACAAAACCAATACTTCTGAATCTTTGCAGATTTTTCATAAATTATATTTAACAGCAACGAAAAGACAATTTAGGAAAGCACGGGAAAAAAAAAACTTTTGTACTGTTTTTATGTATAAAGTCCATATCTGATTCGGCTGACGTCATGTAAAGAATACTGGGAGTTGAATATAAGAAAGTAGGATTGTATGTCCATCTCCGGTTACGTCGGACTTGATTTACCAATCAAAGTGTAATACTGTGACACCTGTCTTACCAGGCAGAATTTCTCTAAATGCATCTGTTTCCTTCCAGACAGAACCCATGCACGTCACACCATTAAGAGACGTGTATACCTTACATATTTTCAAGAATTGCCCACGATCCATTGATGTAGGGGTTCGGATTAAGATTTTGTTAACAGTGTTTTCTTGTTGTTGCTGATGTAAAATCCTTTTGCTATGAAGATCCAGGCAATCATACCTTTATCTATAAATGTTACATCTGGCGGTTTTATTATCCTCCCCTTTATAACCAAATTCATCTCGTATCGATCATTTGATATGATCGTCTTTATTGATCAAATAATATTTCTTATCATCATATGATACTATAGCAGTAAATTAGGATCAAACTCAAGTCAACAATGGCAAGGATACCCTCCCTTTTACTTATAGTAAACTATGGATATGAACCTCCTTGCCTTATACTTACAGCAAACCATGGCATGGAACGGCCCGCCAGGAAATAACTTTTCACATCCCCTCTCTTTGGTCTACGGAGTGACTAATGTAAAACATAAACCAATATTTGTGACTTGATAATTGTATAGAACTATTTCTCAAGATTAAAACGGTGGTTGTTTTGACGCGGGACTCGGAACAGTATAGACGTTGTGAATAGGAGGTGAGCTTAAATGGACAAAGCTGGTAATTCGTAGGCCATAGTTTAAAGAACAAACGTGTAGATGAATTAAATGGGTTTGACTATTTTAAACGTAATGAATATTTTGGCATGAAACTGGTACACTATTGTTATTTGCTTACGGATAATTGGAAGGTAAACTGAAGCATTGAAATATATGCTTTTCAAATCGCTCACTATGAGGAAGTGGAAATTGGCGATTTGTTGATGCATAACGTGTAGATAATGTGACTCAATGTGAAAGTTCGTGAATTCGGTTAAAACATGAAATAGCATAAGCGGTATCAGATTTTGATAGCAAAATTCATGCTATTTGCAAATCAGTCTCAAACATGTTTTTTAAAGTTGGTTTACACGCAATGCTGAATGAAAAAAGATACTTTATAATTCCAAATTCAAAAATATGTTATTTCTGTTACAACACTTACCTCCACTGGGGAGATAAAATCGTTGATAGCTTGTTCATAATAAGTTTGCAAAAACTTTTTTTTCAAAATAACATGAAACTAAACTTATGATTAATGCGCACCATTTTCACTCATTCGAAATTCATTCATTAGTCGGGTCGGTCATATTCCAAACGGAAATGTGTAAAATTGTGAAATAGCATCTTTTCTCCTGATAAACCCGTTATGTTTTCCCTGATAAATCCTTTATCTATTCGTTTTTTTATTGTTAGTGTACATTGTAAACTATTTGAATATTTTATGATGTTGTAGTCCGTTTTTTTGTTTACAACATTGAATGACAGCGATCCAATCACTATGCAGATTAAAGTCAAGAGAAATTCCATTCATAAAAAAGAAGTTCCAACAGACCCGCCGCAAGGTGGCGTGTTGTTATCAACTCCTCCGGTCATTATCAAGTCGGCGGAGCTAGATGTTTATTGGTTCAGGGAGAAATGAAAAGAAAATCAGAACCAGAAATTTGCATTTTGCTTAAAAAAATCGAAAAATTAATTATCATACCATTTACTTTAAATTATCAATTTCGTAAAACAAATATAAATCATTAGTTGAATGCATTTTTACCCATCACACACGTTCACCTACACCTGTCTTGTATTTAATTTGCTTTTGTGCTATTATATGAATTAGTTCATTCATTTGAAAATTAACTAACTCGAGTAAAACAACCATGGTAAACACCTGTCGTTGAGTAACCACTATGTGTTACATTTATGTCCCGGTAGAGGGTGCTGTATGGTAATAATCCAGGTATGTATAGAGTATATAGTGTATATTTACATGCCGTTCCCGTGAATACATTACAAACCCTAGGTATGCAAGTTCACTGAGTATACGGCCATTTACTAGACAGTTGGACAGTGGAACGGGACAAAGATGGATACGAATGTTACTCCACCTGACAGATAAACATAAGCAGAAAAAAGTTGTCATGGCAGAGTTTATTTCATGTATGCCTTATCTCAGTTAACGTTTGTTTACGTTTGGTCAGTTGAGTGTGCATGCGCATAAGTGTACTTCAGGCGAAAATTCATTCATGCAATTTTACAATTTCATACAATACATTTTATATTTATGCATTGTTATGCATTGAAAGTGATTACATTTATGTCATGTGAGGTTATATCAAATGTATATATTTATTTCAGGGCGAATTTAACGCTGAGCGAAAATGAAAGGTTTGATTTGAAGGCAAAAAAAGTAAGCTTTTGGAGAATCGTGCATGATGAATTTCAAGACCGCACGAATGAGAGAAAATGGAAACCCTACATTTATCTTTCATTACAAAATACAATCAAAAAGATTTACGGTAACGCTTGAGTACAAGGACAACAAGACCAGATCGGACAAGACAAAGTAATGTTAAACGATAAATGAAACGGAAAACTACAAAGCAAATGAGTTGAAATGATCAGACTATCGCGTAATCTTTTTCAGCCTGCATCTTTCAAAACCTTGTATTGTACGTTTTATAGATGATTCCGAAAAGAAATTACAGAATTATTTCGTATATTACATATATATATCACAGGTGACACACATACCAATAAAACATATGGGTAATACTAAAGAGAGGTATTGTTGAAGACAAAAGCATCAACCATTTGTTATGTAAAGTGCCAGGAAGTAGGTAACATTCAACAACATACTTACCCATAATCCGACGCCAATAACGATGAAAAAGTAGACAACTACGATAAGAATGTCGACCCAGTGATTGAGGCCCTTCTCCATGTTGTTAGCGCTAGAGTCGTTTGTCTCAATTTTCTCCCTTGATATCACGTACAACTGCGTACCAGATTAATGTTGTAATGTCATTCAGGACGCTGTCCTGGCATACAGGTTAATCATTAAGAATACTTCAAATATTTATTCATTGTAAATCTTTAGTTGGAGGTGAAAATTGTTTAAGTCTTGGTGTTATCTGAATGCTGCCTTCCGCAGGCTAACAACTATTTGCCCAGTGCCCCAAAAAGTAAATAACGACATCTATATATATATAATTATATCGAACATTTGATCAATCCGTGAACATATTGAATACCCACTTTATCTGTCAACATATTGAACACCTGCTCTTTCCGTTAACATATTGAACAACCGCTCTATCCATGAACATATTGAACACCCACTCTATCCGTGAACATATTGAACACTCGCTCTATCCGTGAACATACTGAACACCCACTCTATATATGAAGATATTGAACGCCCACTCTTTCCGTTCACATATTGAACACTCTCTCTATCTGTGAACATACTGAATGCACTCTCTATCCGTAACAATATTGAATGCCCGCTCTATCTGTGAACATATTGAACACCCACTCAATCCGTGAACATATTGAACACACTCTCTATACATGAACATATTGAAGACCTACTCTATCCGTTAACAAATTGAAGACCTGCTCTATCCGTGAACATATTGAACACCTGCTCTATACGTGAACATATTGAACACCTACCCTATCGGTGAACATATTGAACACTCGCTCTATCCGTGAACATATTGAACACCTACCCTATCCGTGAACATATTGAACACCCGCTCTATCTGAGAACATATTGAACACTCGCTCTATCCGTGAACATATTGAACACACTCTCTATACATGAACATATTGAACACTCGCTCTATCCGTGAACATATTGAACACCCGCTCTATCCGTGAACATATTGAACACCCGTTCTATCCGTGAACATATTGAACACCCGCTCTATCCGTGAACATATTGAACACACTCTCTATACATGAACATATTGAACACTCGCTCTATCCGTGAACATATTGAACACCCGCTCTATCCGTGAACATATTGAACACCCGCTCTATCTGTGAACATATTGAACACCCGTTCTATCCGTGAACATATTGAACACCCGCTCTATCCGTGAACATATATAACATACACTCTATCCGTGAACACCCGCTCTATCCATGAACATATTGAATACCCGCTCTATCCGTGAACGCTTGTAGGGTAAAATGTCCACAATCGGCTATGCATCAGAATAACGCGATTGTCTTGTCTTACTTATACATACCAGCGTAATGGTTTGGTTCGATAAGCATATGAAAAACAGTTTTGATTGGGTTAACACAGAATACATAATATGTTATTTACATACATAAAAAGGTAAGATTATGGTTTACATTTATGTTACGTCATCATTTACTCCCTAAGTCTTCTCATGTATGGAAGTATACAGATATATGATACCTATGTCTAACACCAGGAAATGTGACGCTGGACATACATCTGTATCCAGTCGTACACCCAGGTTTGACATAAAAAGGGATGTCAGCATGTGTCGAAAATAATATTTATCTTCCAATTAACATACTGCTCAGATTCATGCAGATCTAGAACAGTATACCTCTTAATTCGTTAACTAGTTATTTATCACCATTCTGTTTTGTTTCGGGAGCTTTCCGTATAGTTTTGTATTTAGGAGTGTTCTCTTGATTCATAATACCCTTAGACAACACAGTGCACCATCGCTGCTTAAGTCATAACAAGTATTAATTAATAAAGATTTGCAGTAGATAAAACGTCACAGATTTTGAATTTAGGGATTCCAACCGCGACCGGTAAAGACCGAAGCATGGACAGGTATAAGCCCACTCGTAACCGGATACATTCGGTTATTACCGCGCCGCGAGGTAAACATCGATTCCATGTACTACCCTGGTGATGTTTATGAAAAAAACATAGAGGCCAGAGACATATCGTTGCTGATGACCTTTAACATTTCAACACAGATTTCATTCTTCTAACACTGACTAATATTCAACAATATGTTTGTCACAGCCTGATCCAAGGTGTCCGGACCTCCTTCTCTAGTCTTTCCTTTTTGTACCAACAAAACTGTTGGTTATTCTCGAATTTTAGGCACGGTGCACGGGCCGTTTGGTCAGGTGCATTTTTTCATCGGTTTATCGGTTTGTTCAGTTGGACCAACGTTGTTCTTATATGCAATACTGGCAGACCTTCTGATAAGATTTTACTTTCTGACGAGTTGACCGAGCCTTTGGATGCCTGTATTGCAGGCCCGTCTCGATTTATGTATGTAATAGTACATTAAAGTCCAAACGAACCGGTTTATCTGTATTAAAGAATAGGCCTCGGTTGTTTAACATGAAAAACAAAAATTGTGTACGATAGATGTTTAATACGTTATTACTCGTGTTAAAAACTGCATGAATAAAGATTGTGTCATTTAGGGATAACTCCACTACAGGCTCCATACTAGCGGAAATTATACCTGAAGGTAGTGAAGGAAACATGTTGTTTGGGATTACTCCGCTACAGGCTCCATACTAGAGGAAATTATACCTGAAGGTTCTGAAGGAAACATGTTGTTTGGGATTACTTCGCTACAGACTCCATACTAGAGGTGGTTGTACCGGAAGGTTCTGAAGGAAACATGTTGTTTGGGATTACTCCGCTACAGACTCCATACTAGAGGTGGTTGTACCTGAAGGTTCTGAAGGAAACATGTTGTTTGGGATTACTCCGCTACAGACTCTATACTAGAGGTGGTTGTACCTGAAGGTACTAGAAAACTATAAGTGTGATCACTAGAAATTCTTGCAACATATTATTCGCCACGCTTAAATGCTTCTGTATATGTACATTGTATATATACAAAGTAAGTACAAACCTTTTTTCTATATACAATTTGTTGGTGAAACTGATAAATTAGAATCTTAGAAGCTACCATTTTACACCTAGTTTTGAACATTTTTAAGAGGAGGACCATTCACCTTGTCCATCGCATCTTCTTACAAAATGTACCTTGCGTGAGGGCCATTTTATATAAAGACTATTGAAAAAATACAGAAGGAGAATGAGACTTGGCGTTCCGGAAGGGTTAGCGTCTTCTTCATCGACGACATCCTCCAAGTAAACCTTGTTAATCCAAGTGTGGTGCATTGCTAATCAATTTAAATTGTATTTTTGCGTGTATTGGTTTGATGTGTGCACAGTGCTCGTAGTGTCACTGCTGTGTTTTCCGTATTCCACGTTGTGATATGTCCTTAAGTTAATTTCCTGTTGTGTCTAATGTATGTGTAAATATCTAAAAAGCGAATTCTTATGAGTGTTTCAAGTGCTAAAGCCCACTAAAAACCCGACTGTGTTACTAAGCTCCCTTGTAGGGACTCGGGATTAATACTTAGTGTTACTTTCACAAGAATCACTGTAACCACTGGGAACTCGAGAAGGGAAGCATGAAATCCAGGTAAATACTAGTCGCAATATACAGCTCGACTGAAGACGGAAAGATTTTCTCTTTGAAAAAAAAAGCAAGATCAGATAATGTTAATAATGTCGATAATGTGTTACTATTAGGCAAACACATTCAAACATATGTACAATGTATACATATTCTACTCCTTAGTGGTGTAGAAATGAGACGTGTATTTAATTGAAATACGAAATAAAAATTGTATCATTTGAATCGTTAGAATATCATTTCTGCTTGAAGTCATTGCTATAAATTACATGCAGGTATTTGTTTTTATGCTCCTGGTTGATTGGTTGGCCGTAAACCAATGACTGTAAGACATATATTCCGCGTTTTCAGAGTCTACACCCTGCTGAAGATTGATTGTAATTATCATCACTAATACCTCGGTCTATATCCGATGATGATACAGATATTAGATGCAAAATCATAAACATAAAAGCAAGACAAAACGGACAGAAGTCAGTTATGAAATTAAGTTTATAAGAATATGATGACTCAAATACAGGAGCACACTAGCTTACGCCATTGCAATATAAACATTAAATTTCAACGGCGGTGACAAATTTATAGGAATTCAGATGTCAGAAACTTATAAAAGGATTCACCTGTACCTAGTACCGTGTTATTTGTTAACTTTGTGAATGTCGATTAATAGATTTACTACTTTATTTACTTCCGGTAGATATATGGGATTATAAAGCACGGGCATAATTTTACTCCAACAGACGTGTGCATTCGATCTATTGGATGTATATAAAGATGTCTCCAGCTAGACTCTGGCATGATTATTTGGTTCATGTTCGATCATAAAATGAACACTTACAGAAAAGCAAAAACAAAACAAACACAAAAAAATCTTTGACATAATTTATTGGTTACAAGTTAACAATATTTGGAAATCAACCCGGCATGGATTAAAGTAAATATATCTCAGTTAGATTAGATCAATGATCATCTAATAAATTATTAGTACCTGCTCAGTATTAATGGAACTTCCAAGCCATATCAGTCAATGCGTTTTTAGTGGCCAATTCCCCTTCTAGGTGATCAAATATACAGCTGCACATGTGCTCACTTCAAATTAATATTTTTTGTATGCATATTTAAACCATAGCGAAAAGCTAGAAATATACCTCAAGTTATTTGTACCGCGAAACATGCCACTTGAAATAGCAAAACTCACATTCATGCGACAAAATAATACCATATCATAATTCTGGTTGTTACTACAGAACGTAGCTATATGTAAGTCATTTTTATGAATATTTCTCACCAAACAGTTACTAAGAATAGTTAATCAGACAAACCCCTGTTTTATGATAACCTTTCTTCAATGCTTGATGTCCGTTTGTTTTGTTTTTAGATTTTATTTTGATTCGTTTTTATTATTTTTTATTTTATTTTTTTCTCTAAGTGTTCATTTTAGAATCGGACGTGAACCAAATAATCATTAGATAGCTAAGCAATGAAATGCTATGGTATAAGCAAAGTGAGTAAGCAGGTTGAAATAGAGGACTATACGGGAAGTAATAGGATAGCTTTCTGACTATCCACCACACAGCCACAGCTCTTCCTCAGTCTTTCTATTCTGCGATGTTTGAGATATATTTTAGAAACAAAAAACAAACATGGTTTATCTCACTGCGGGGGTAACAGCATTATGTAATTCACGACTATGAAAGTGCCAGCTGTACCATTGTTCTGTGCATCCTATTTAAAACTTCAGAGACTCGAGTTGTTTACAATAATGTGTATTACGACTTGATCACGACTAACAGCTTATGGATTTCATATATATTTGTAACATATTTCGAGATATGATGATGTTCGTTTCTTGTGTACTGTCATAAAATGATACATAAATATATTACACATTTTTGTCAACCTATTACAACAGATGGTTGTATATATTTCAACTTCTTCGTAATATCATTATCACTTAACATAAATCATATATTTTGTTACCCCTGCTGTGAGAATAGATTCAGCCTGCAATTTTCTGTGACATGCCTGGCTTGTCCTATACATAAATGATAATTATCATAAAATAACTCAAATAGGCAGAATATAGGTAGTAATTCATAAATATGTAACACATTTTATCTTGGGTGGTCAGGTCGCCCAGTGGTAACGCACTTGGCTTTCACCTAGTCGCCCTGGATTCGATTCCCGGAATTTGATGTGAAAAGATATTGGGTCACCTGGCCGAACACGTGGGTATTCCCTTGGTACACCGGTTTCCTTTTACAGTAGGACCCCTTGCGCGCTTCTATCCGGGCCCACAAGGGTGATTATTGTAAGTTGGAAAACTTTTTTCACAATTGTTATAAAATAAATATTTTTTCTATTTATTAATATCATTTTACTGCATGTAGTTTGCCCAGAGCACATCTGATAATAAAGCTTTTATATATACGCTAGTTATAGGTCTGTATAAAAATGAACTACTTTCAGACACGTGGAGTTGTAGAGTTGTAGATCTTATAACACAACCAGTAAAAGATTAAATGTGAAGTTCCCATAATTAAACGGTCTCCTTACATTTAAATGTAACGTTTCGATGACTGTACGGTCACCTTGGTCCTACTTAAATCGTCTACTGGCTGTGTTATAAGAACTTCTATTCTATAGACATAACCAACACGAGGAAATGCCCATTACATGTTAAGTTATCAATGTGCTGATATGGTTCAATTATGAATAGACAAGGAGTAAATGTAGTTACTGAAGTGCAGTCTGATGTGTTGTAGATGTATAATTTATAACACATTGTATAAGCATAGCTGACATTCCCGGTCCAGTAGATATTATTCATTACTTGCACCGAATACCTAACCGGCTGCACCCACCACACTGCAGATAAGACATTGGGATTTTATTGCATTATCGTGTTTACTTTAGACATATTGTTTGATCACTCTGGCTGTGTCCCTAGATCTTAACCTCATTTTCTCTATGTAATGCGTGAAACTTTAAGTATTGGGCGTAGCACGGTTTACCATAACTATTGATAGACTCAATAGACATCGTATGTGTAATGTTATCATCACATTTTGATTTTACTTCCGGGTACACTACAGGCCATAAGTGCCCAATAATCTTTCCGGAAGGTATGTTGTATGTACTATTGAATCCTTAAAATACACTTCCTCAAAACTGGAATATCTACAGGGATGCAGCCATATTAATATAATGGCCGAGGACGTAAACAACAGAAAGACATCATGTGTAATAAACCACACCGGTTAGTATTACGTTTGTACTCGTAAACATCACTGTTAGGGGACGCGTTACATTTCTGGTGGTATTCAATGTTTTATAGTATGGTGAGATTCGGCCATTGGAGAAGACGTCTTCAGAGCATTACAGAGACATGGATGAAAGTATACCGTTTGTAGGGAGACGAAGAGACTGTGAGGAAATAAAAGTTTGGTTCCGACAAGGTCGACACAGACTTATACAGGTATATGGACCACCTTTCACAGGCAAGCAACGACTGGCTCAAAAGGTAAGCATAGTGAATAGCAGTGTAGTTCGTCTATTTTCTCTGGACGTCAAGGTAATTTCTGTGTTCTGTGTTTTGTTTTACATGAGCGAGTGACTACAAGTTTCATACCACACCTAGGTCACCTGATAACAGGTTATGGTGATTTGTTGCCACTATTTTTAGTCCGTCATCGTTCGTTAAATTTTTCTTCTAAGCATGATAACTTGAGTAAATACGAACGGATTTTAGTGAAACTTTGAATTCAGCCTTATATCAGTAAGATTTCAGACGAGTTTAGGAATGGAACCGATTTGATTTATTTTTTCGTTGTTTGCTGTTTAAGTTCAGTTGAGATAAGTATGGTGACCGTTTAAGCCAACATGTCTTCTTCACTAATGCCAGCAGTTGACTTCATTTGATAGTATAATGATTTTGTTTTTAAAAAATGTGTTTAAGTTTTGACAATGTATTGTGTGACTTTCTTTTTTTAACAATATGTTTAAGACTTGCTATGACTGTATTGATTATAGATTAAGGACGACCTTGCTGAAGAATGTAGGGAGAGAGGATTACCATTGAGATGTATAGGTACGTCGGGGGAGTATACGAGGGATTGGAATGATTGGTTGGATGAGTTAGTGATTGCATCTGGCGATCAAAGCAGACAAGACAACTCTTCTGAACGTTGTATAACCAACCACATCAGATTGATGACGAACGACAATCAATTTTCACGGATCCTCTTTGTATTTACAAAAGTAGACAATGTTATATGTACACCTATATTGCAAGAGCAATTTATTATGTTCTGCCAAAAAATCTTGCAAATCTCAAGGAAAATATTTATCTTAGTGACAAGCCAAAAACGCATTATGTATCCATCATCGCTATCAAAGCGAGCCGTGTTCCTAGCCGGCGTTACAGAATCCGATGGGGTATTATTACTGCAAAATGTAGCGCAAAGACATGCTGATATAAAAATACACTCTCGGGACATTGTTCGTGGATGCTGCTATCTTCCTGGGTTAATCGTGGAGGCTGCCATGTTGTTGGACAACCCTCAACACGTGGTTAGTGTAGATGATCTTGTTGCCATAGTACAGTCTCCTGGGTCGCTGATGAAAATTCTTTCATTTCATCGACAGAGATTGCAATATTTCTTCGATCGAATGTCCGAAAACATGAAGAAAGGTGCTATGTTGTTAACACTTTTCCAGGGATCCTTCTCAAAAGAAGCGGCAACGGAAGTTCTTTTACAATCTAAAACGACAGGACAAAGTCCCTATGTGTCTCTTATTGAGTTGTGTGACCAATCCGTGGTGTCGAAATGTATGCAATCGGACAGATATGAAGTTAATGCCTTTTTTCATTGTCATATGTTAGAAAATATACAAGATGTTACTGAATTAAATTCTGGCCGTTTACAATTTACAAAATTCTTCTGTCGGACTCTTCAAGATATAGACCATAGAGTGTACGTGCATGGACGCGAGAATGTGCTGAATCATCTTCATGCAGACTTCGATAATGTCCGACAGCTGATGCAACAGACCATGCATTGTACTGAAGAAATATTTCCACTTCTCATGCAGGTTTGTTGAATTTAAACTAGAAATAAAGACAACGTAGACAAAACATCGGTAAAATAAGAAAAATAACTGTAAATATGAAATTCAATTAAATTCGTAGCAATGTTGAGCGGTAATGTGAAAAGGTCACATAAGTGTTCCGTGGTGTGGTGGTGATGTCATTAAGTTGGGAGGCCCTATTCACTGTAAAATGTGAACGTGATAAACTCCTTAAGCCAATACACATGTATGTGTTATTTCCAAATTACCTAATATTAAGTATTCATAGCTTTACAAGTATTGCTTATCTTCCTGTCTATATATTCTTTTTAGTTCTAACCGTTAAAAGTATCATGTATATTCGCCTTCGTGATTTTAGAACAATACCACTACTGACGAGTTCCAGAATGATGATTAACTTTATGATCTTATTATTAAGCAGATACTTTTTCATTTGATAAAGCTTTTTAAATATAGAAAGTTTACTTGTGTGCATTTTGTATGTATATAAGAAATGGTATATGGAAACATACTTAAGACACCCAGTATAGTTTTCATGTTATTTGTATGACATATATAAGTATTTTTTATTAAAGTATTTTCGTTGTATCTGTGTTAGTCATGGTTGCCTGATAATCGTAGTCAATAAGCACAAGTCTGTTATCTAGGTGGTTGTATCTGCTGAGGAGGTGTTCACCGTCTGTTTCTCCAATCAGGAGGTGGAGCGTTTCTACGAGAGCCTGATGGCCGCAGCCTCAGTGTTCGGAACGGCTAGAGAAAGAGCACTGATTCTTTGGCTCATGGCACAGAATAGCAATCCCTACGGGAAAGGTTAAGATATTATTTAATTAATGCAATTTCATATATGCATACGTCTAAACATTATCCAAGCATTTGTTATATTAGTTAAAAGGAATGCTAAGTTAAGAATTTAGCTATCTTAAAGAGATTTGTGGTAGAAAATAATAAAAAAATGTTTATTTTGTTTCTGGATTTTAAAATTTCTCCGATAAAATTTTATTCTCTTTAGTCTTCTCCTAGATTTCAAAATAAAGGATCACTGACAAGTCCCAAAAGGAGAAAACAGCTGTATGGTTTTGTATTGAAAAATACTGCCACTTGTGTGACCTTTTTCTAATCTGCAGAAACTGCTCGTTGACTTTCAGAATATACACGTATACTTGATATATATTCTCGGTGATTTATTTTTGTATAAATTATGAGACTGACTATTGCTTTCTCAGGTGATTTCCAAGCAAATTCGAGATATCTTTCATTCGTGATTTTAATTCTTAAATACTTGTACTGGGATTTTCAGATAAAGCGAACAACATGGACGTTCTGGAACTATGTAAGGCTGCCGTTCGTATTCTGCACCTTGAGGGTCCATCCTATCATTTAGCAGCAATAAAAGGTCTGATGGGACAAACATACAACAGGATAGGCAATGCCAGAAATGGACACCGGTAAGTTAGTATGGAACAAGACGTTCTCTGGAGTTATAATTGTGTGTCCTACATTGATTATTGAAACGGAAAGAGCATTATATGATCAATTAAATACAAACATACATGTACACGTTGGCAAGTAATGATATTGAATATAAATACACAAAAATATCAGAACCAAACACCTCGTAAAAAGCTGTTGCAATAACGTACTTATAACATACAATAACATAACATCATATGATTATATTTGCATTCTGACAGCTGTTAATGAATCTGAAAATGATGAAACAATAGATATTGTAAAAAACTATGAAAAAACTAGAAGTATAGCAATTCACGTGAAATGCCAAAACAGCCATCGATCTAGAACTAGGAAATTGTCAATCTTTTAGATATCTCGTATTGCAAAATGACAGATCAACAGAATCACTTTTGTAATTTTATTCTCTGCGGGACATTAAGAATTTATGTTGGTGAAACAAAAGAACAGTCAAAACAAGGAATTAATGGTAATCATTCAGCAGTAAACAGCGAGTAGAATGTTTGTATCGACATTTCAACCTCACGGACCATTTTATACTGTCAATTAATGTCCGTATCTTGTGAAAAGTATAACCGTGCAAATGACAGCACATTGAGCACACCGTACCGTTGACAACGTGAGGAACATGACGTAAGACTCCTTTGCACTGCTGCGTCATATGACTGCAATGACCGCGTGGGCTGTGATTTTTTTTCCCAGTCCTGGATACAATAACAGTAACGTTTTGACTTTACAGAAACTATTAGGTGTCCATCAATTTCGAACTACGTTATATTCGATTCCTTTCTCCGTGCTACGAAAACTGCAAGTGGATTCAGCTAATACTGCATCTGGTGACATGTGGAAATTATTGTTTGACTACATAAGATGATTGAGGTTGTCACACAAATCCGGCTATCAAAACCTTTCCATACAAATGGCAGCGAGGTAGTGAACCTTCAACAACTCGCTAATTAATGGAGATGCAATGAAAATATACGCGGGTCAGCTTTCCGTCATCCTCATGTTAAATCCACACTTCAAGATTTACATGACAGGTTTGTTATTGAGCCTGCATATAAGGCGTTCAAAAACCTGACCCTTGTCTGCAATTATTGTTGCATTTTCTGTATACAAAAATAACTATGCTGGCTTAAGAATGAAGGAAACCACCTCTATATATTATGCTGCAATCTTTCCAAAAACGATATACTGGCAAATCATGCTTTTGGTTATATAAACATGTTGATATTTTCTTTTTTTTTTTAAAGAAAAGGTCGTGAAAAGGTTCGTGTAGAAAGTTTACTTTCTGAAATGTATAAAGCCGATCAATATAGAAAAGGTGTTTCTTATTGGGTCATCACTTTCCTGACCAACGGCGAAATCAACTGAATGCTTACAAAGGCCAAGATGGGCAATAATTTACGAAAACTAGGAGTGCACTTGGCGTAGGCTTGTTGGTCGTTCTCTATCTATACTGTTCCGCAATACATTCTCTGCTGGGTTACAACAACCTCACATTTTCGTCGAACAATGCCAGAAACCCTATATATCTTTATCATAAGATATCTGTAGTAGCGAACATTAAGATGAAAATTATGTTGGATTAAACCGGTATGTCGGGCAGGAGCCATTATGTTACAATAATAATCGGTGATTAAAAAGATAGTTCGGACATCTAGTTGTTTTCTTCTCTTTCACATTTTCTTCAATTCACATTACATTTACATAATTTGTCACGGAATAGTGTATATAATGTAATATATATGTCGATATATGTGTTAGATTTCTGAATCATTCGACCTGTCATTTATCATATTGCACTTAAACCCGACATAGCTGCCGCCGATACAAACCCTGATAACTATTTTATTTGTAATGTATATGTTATTGCATGACGAAGTAACAAAAACTTGTAAAATATAATGATTAATATACTAGAATAACAATACGAAAATGTACCAGGTAAATGATTTATTATTACAACCACAATCACAAAATCATATAATAATAATTTGTCCTCTAAAGACAAATTCAGTCAACCTGTCGTTGTCAAAAATGATGTTTTGGTATTTGATACAGGTTGTTGTCTGAGGCACTGGCTATGCTTGCTGGTATTGAGCGGTCAGTGATGGTCACGCGAAGAGAAGTGGCGCTATTGTCTCATCTAGCAATATCTGAAGTGTATCTAGGTAAGATATCTAAATATTTCATTTTTTAAGCAATGCAGCTCATTAACCGTCATATTACAATACAACGATTACAAAATGTCCACATCTTCAAAAGAGGTTTTTGATTGTAAAATTGCTCACAGATCTTGTTAATGACCTATATTCTTAACCAACATCTGGATTTATATCCATATGAATTATTCGTTTGCATTACATTGAATAATTGAGTAATACAATTGCATTTTTTACCTTTGATTTTCTACGTCAGAAAACCATAGCAATTCGGAAAGAACAGTAGATCGAGGTCTACATATAGCTTGTCGGGAGACACCTCATCATCCTGCCATTGCCGTCATGCTCAATACAATGGGCTTGATGTGGGAAAACTGTACGTACATGGTTAAACGGTTTTACAGGCATATCGGATAAGAGTCATCATTCTCTTACAAACATGATAATGAATTTAAGTTTTGAAAAAAAAGTTGTGATATTTCAAAATTGAATATTTTTAATTTATTAATTTCATATTCAAATCTTTCCTTTTTTTTTTAACTTTGAAGTGTTGCAAGTTCAGTTGTACCAAAACTCAATTTTCGAAATTGAAACACTTTGATATAGCAATCAGTGGTATTGTCACATTTGCTTGAAAGCACCATCATATTACACTTCACTGTCTTAAAGCATCATACCTGCAGCATTTGTATAGTTGTTTGAATGTTTACCACCATTTTGTGTCTTACTACACTAAAACATGTATCATTAGTATATAATGCAACGCTACTCTTGTAGGTATTGCATATCTAAGGCAAAGTCATTACTTCAAACCAGAGTGTTGTATATTACAATAAGAGCTAAAATCATTCTCTGGACAAATTTTTGTCTTAGCTGCTGAATCATGTTAAACAGATTTGAAATTATTTTTTGCTAGAGCGTAGCAAAACAGGTAATAAATTATGCTGAATCATTGAATACTGATATTACTAGTTGTCGCCATAGTAAATAAATAGTTACCAACGTCTTGATACCTAAGTACATTGTTAATTGATACGTCGTCAATGATTTAGGTACACCCTGAAAAAGACACGTCATACATTACATTCAACTAAAGAAGATCCTAAACTTACTTTTTTAGCTGGGCGGAGCCATGTCAATGCTTTGCAATACTACAAGTGGTCCTTGAAGGAAAGAAGAAAGCATTCCTACTTCAAAGAGGAGAACCTCGTCCCAGCTTTACTCAATGTGTCTTTACAGTTCGTTCGGACAGGGAGATACAGTAGGTAGACACAAGTTGGTCGGCAACTACTCTTAGAGGAGTTAAAAATATGTCCGTATGTGTTTAAGAATCTGACAGTATATTTTTCGTTATACTTCGTTATTTCAGGCGATGCCCTGAGCAATCTGGAGGAGGCCATGGAAATCCGCAAACGGTTTGGATGGATTAATCACTTCACAGCGGTGACACTATGGTATAGCGGGGTTGTCTATATGCAACTGTGAGTACACGTTTGTTATAAGCGCATAAATGTTGCTACAATAGTTATATGTAGTTTGAATATTTGTTATTCAATGAAGAAATGAACTATTAGGTGTTTACATTGACTTAATAATAAATTTGTTTTAATAAAGTATTATATGGATTAAAAGCAAAACTAGCTGAATTGTGTTTATATATGATAATTTGCAGAGGCAACTTTTCACGGGCATTGGATACCATTCAGCAAGCCTTTAAAATTCTTGAAATGTGTACACCGCAACACCCTGCAATCTTCGGTGTTGGTGCTGGTATAGCTCATTGTCACTTAGCTATGAAAGACGAATACAATGCAAGAAGAGCATTCAGTCAAATAATAGCGAAGTATCACACAATCAAAACAGATGATGTCTCAGTTAAGATTGGCGCACTACGTCATTGTTTGCTGTTAGGTGATTCACATCAAAGAAAAAATACGTTTTTGTGTTTACAAAGGGAATTGCTGGACATAACAGACACAAACTTGAATATCGAACAACAAATTTCAGAATGCAGGGATATCTATTTAGCAAATGAGGAGGAAAACTGGAATGAAAACGGGCGCATATTGTTAAGTAAACATTGTTCACTATGCCAAAATGGGTATCGTGTCTTTTCATATTGCGAAAACGCTGCTTGTGACAAGAATTTAACCGCGACACAAATGCAGTCGTCGGGATCGTTTGATAAGGATTTAAAAAAGACACACAGACAACCGTCAGAATCGGTTGACAAGGATTTAGACGAGACAGAAAGACAACTGGCAGAATCGGTTGAGAAGGATTTAGTAGAGACTGAAAGACAACTGGCAGAATCGGTCGACAAGGATTTAACCGAGACACAAAGACAACCGTCAGAATCGGTTTACAAGGATTTAACCGAAACACGAAGACAACCGTCAGAATCAGCTGACAAGGATTTAACCAAAATACAAAGACAACTGTCGGAATCGGTTGACACGGATTATGCCAAGACGCAAAGACGGCTGGTAGGATGGGTTTACAAGGATTTAATCGAGACAAGAAGACAACCGTCAGAATCGGTTGACAAGGATTTAGTCGAGACAGAAAGACAACTGGCAGAATCGGTTGACAAGGATTTAGTAGAGACTGAAAGACAACTGGCAGAATCGGTCGACAAGGATTTAACCGAGATACAAAGACAACCGTCAGAATCGGTTTACAAGGATTTAACCGAAACACGAAGACAACCGTCAGAATCAGCTGACAAGGATTTAACCAAAATACAAAGACAACTGTCGGAATCGGTTGACACGGTTATGCAAAGACGCAAAGACGGCTGGTAGGATGGGTTTACAAGGATTTAATCGAGACAAGAAGACAACCGTCAGAATCGGTTGACAAGGATTTAGTCGAGACAGAAAGACAACTAGCAGAATCGGTTGACAAGGATTTAGTCGAGACAGAAAGACAATTAGCAGAATTGGTTGAGAAGGATTTAGTCGAGACAGAGAGACAACTAGCAGAATCAATTGACAAGGACTTAACCGAGACACAAAGATAACCAACAGAATCGGTTGACAAGGATTTAGCCGAGACCCAAGGACAGTTATCGAAATCTTTTGAAAAGGATTTAGACGTGACACAAAGACAGTCATCAGAATAATTCAATACGGATTTTACCGAGACACAAACATAGCCGTCATTTGACAGGGATTTAACTATGACGGGAAGATCAACTGCAGAATCATGGGACAAGTAATTAATAAGGATACTATGGCAATCTTGTGGAAACAATTTAACCGAGACACAATGTCTGGCCACATTATCTGGCAATGATTTGACAGGAGAAAATGGCAATCAACGGAATCGTTTAAGAATGATATAACCGAAATACAAAGACAAACCTCAAAATCGTGTAATAAGGAAATAAGCTGAATGAGTTCAAGAATCTGACGAATGAAGTATTGCCGAATCACAGAATTTAAACTACTTGAAATGTGTGGAAGCAGTGTTTGACCTTGTACAACCCAAGTTAGAACATCAGGACAAGAAACTATATTCAATGTAATTAAAAATTGCCCTTTCAAAATCGTTTTCTTTTTTAATATTGATTTAAGACGGAAATGAAGTAAGTGTGAGCCGAATTTACTATGAACTTCAGCTTCATCCAAATATCGACATGTGTACAGGAATATCATAACTTTTTATTATATTTTTGATGATTTCTACAGTTGTGATATCGTACAACGCACCAAAAACGTCGTGCGCAGATCGTGAGCACATCGTGAGCAAACACGCACGATACAGTATCGTGCGCATGATCACGTGATAGGATCACACATTTTGTGCTGATTGATAAAAATGGTTGGCTTATATTACGGATTGAAAATTAAACGTAAAATCAATACTAAATAGCGATCTTATGAACATTAAAATTGATCGATGATTATAAAAATAATATGTAATTCGACAGTTTTCGAAATAACACTTGACTTGCATTAACAAGTCTTATCGTATATAGTTTCACATCTTAGAACGTGGCGAATAGTGGTACTTCGGGGAACAAAAGTTTACCTGTATATGAGTATATACGTGACAGGTCCGGATCACTGCCGGTTGGTCGCATGTATAACAAACACAACACTTAAGATTTACCTGTGCATATATTTTTTGTTTACAAAAGGAGAGTTAAACAGAAGTAATGAAAATGAAATGTCCTTTTCTGAAGGTATGAGATTTTAAATAATTCATTGCTGTGACATAAAGAGACGTCCATCTAATGTTTACTTATATAGTGTTTATATGTGTCGCTTCACTGGTAACGTGGGACTCTTTGTAAACAAAACACTTAAAATTACAAGTGTGTCTTAATATTCAGCGTGTATCTGATTTACAACTGTAATAATATACTAACTCTCATTTGTCAGTCCTTGTCTGATGTATTAAATCCTTTACATAAAGATGTATCCAAAATGTCATTTTTTTTAATTTCCGAAAGATTTGTTTTCGTACCACACAGTTATGGATATACTTCATCCATGGAGTACAATGTAATAATCCAAATATACATGGTTTAGTCTGAACGTCTATCTTTGCAATCCAACTGTAGGTACAAAAGTCAAGACGACTACAGGGAATTTCACATTCATTAACACATGTATATACTCAAACATCAACAATATTTCATAACAATCAATGAAGAAACTCTACACCTCGTGCAGGTGATCGTGGTGACATTCCTGAACACTTAGTTTAAGTGGTTTTACACTTTCCCTCGATCATTTTCCAAGGTACTTAATAATTCAAGAGTTTCCAAACTAAAATTGTCAGCCTTCTCACGAAGAGCAATACTTTCAAGGTTAATAGCAATTATCGGCTGTAATATCTAAATGTCAGACGTCACGAACCGCTAATACGTCAATAGATGTTTCATTCAAACATTCAGTAAGGTTGTTTGATAAATGTACTAGTTATATAAAACGTATCATAATGACATGATAGCACATCTAATAGCGTAAAAATAAGAGCTTATTGATGACTTCTCGTTACGTATAGCAATACATACATGTTTACACTAAAGTGATTGTGATATCATATTAGGTTTAGGTATTTTCAAGTCATTTACATCTAATACTGGTATTGTCCCAGCATTACAATTAAGGATGATCACGTAAGATGGGAAGATTTAATGGTTTTGTAGCTGAAATATGTTTTGTTATTAACGAATTTTATCATCGAGGTGAAATGTATTTCTATTCACCTATAATTTAATTCTTCAGGCCCCTTGCATTTCTTATTTGGCAACAGAAATTGGTAGTAAATGTTCCTCTCATTAGCATGCATACGATCCTTTAAAAAGATATTTTATGCAGATTAAGTTTGCATTCGTATTAATTCAACATTAATGACTAAAGTATATAAAACCGTCATGACCATAGACTTATAGGAATCCTTCTCTTTTCCTTTTAGATGCGATAACTTTCGCCTGAAACGAACCCATAAAATCTAAGTTGGAATATTTACATACACACCTTATTAAAGATTTTTCTGAAGACATACAAGAGAATCAAGAAACAACAGAAATGGTGGATAGGTGCCATTTTTTGAAACAATAAAAACGTAACATGTATTGTTTTAAGGAACGTGTGTGCATGCCTTTTAGATTTCACGCAACTGGTGTGAAATTTAAAATGTCACATTGAATTATTACCAGTGAGAAGGTACAGACAGAAAACATGTTTGCACAGAGTGTTTACATTTTTGATGAACGTTTCAAATTCAACACAATCAGCTTAACCAAGATTCCACTTCTAATTTTGAATTTCCGTTAAAAAAAATTAATGCGAAAATATTGCAATAATGGCTGATGGCGTGATCAAGATTTAACGCGGAGGAAAAGATCTGAGTAGACATATTTCAATTTTAATGTGGTTCAGATAATAGCATCCGAATAACATAAAAAAATCCATAATAAGATGTGTTACTTATTTGATAAAAACACTGACAAATAATAAATTGCAATGCAGAAGTAATCATTCTGATATTACATTCGGTATTTAATCCGTTGTATGTTCAATAAATTATCTGTATGCCATTACAAACTTAATGTAGATAACGATTCAGATGTCAATGAAGTCATATGTTGTCAATGACTAACACTTGTTCCTTGTAACAACATAAATATCAGGTTTCGTCGAGCAGGGGCAATCCGCTATTAATCAAAATAGGAGCGCAATCGACGCCTTCCAGCACTTGTGTTACCTGATAAATATCAACGGGTTAACGTACCTTATAATGTAACAGCACAAGTAAATACTGTCACTCTTATCAATAAAAACACCTGTCATGGTATACTCGTAAAGGGACAGCAAGATATACACGTGATTCCTTTTATTGATCGTGCGTGTTTTACACACTCCCAGTTACGTATATGTAGTTCCAGATATGCTATCACGATATCCACAGTCAACTTGCAATTTATTTGGGAAATCTCTATCAAATTTAGAGCTGGTTACATCACGTGACAATTTTGGAAAGGAAGCAATTAATTACTATGCATGAATACCTGTTTTTTTGCATTCGATTTTTTTATGGACGAGAAGACGTTGTTTGATAACTCAGCACAGAATTACAAAAAAATGGCATCGATAGTCAACCGTGCACGTTAACAACTTACAAAGCTTTGACCTAGTTATACTCGTTCAGTCGGTAAGTCAATCCAGCAGAATACACGTCTGATTGCATTCATGTTCCTGTCCACAAATCCCTTGCAAAATTATCAGTTTGTAGCTGTCATTTAAATATTTTTTTAACCGCGTGTGAAGCCATGTTTGTTTACTGATATGGTGTATTGGGTGCATGAGTTATCATGTATGACTCAAATATTTATATATACAGATCTTTCATCAGCCATTTGGAGACCTGCCAAATACATAACAAAAAATAGATAAAGAAAAATTCGGTCAAGGAGCAAGATATATTTATCCTGTCAAATTTTAACTCCAAACTTAAATATAATCCCCAAACGAAGTTCAATAAAAAAATATAAACAATTTTCACCATTAAATGTAATTATTAAGTTATTTTACTTGTTTCTATACCATCAGCAGAATCCCAAACTGATTCATGTGAAGATATTCCAATTGAGTTTACAACACTAGCTTGTCTATATTCAAACATTAATTAAACACTACTGCAAGACATTATCTTATTGAAAAGAAGGTAATATTAATGTTATACTGTTAATGAATTCTCTTTTGAGAATGACTTTTTGATGTGAATGTAGATGTTTTTTGGCTTGTTAATTTGGTGCCGTAGATTTTGATCGAGTGTAGGTCGACAAATGCCATTATTAATTAAATTATTTGTGTTTATATACATATTTACTACATTTTCCCTCTTGGTAGCATAATAGCTTCGTGTGTTTTCCGAAATGTCTTCTCATGACTTCTTGGTAATGTTATGAATCATCAGAATGTACTATTAGGCTAGTATGTGGGCTTTGCAATAGATATGCATTTACATAGTGTTAAACATAGATTGAAGTAAATATTTACGTCACATCACATATTTCTTTCTGTCGCTTTCTATCATTCCTCTGTGTTTGCCAGATCAATCAAATTGAATGGAAATATACCCGTAATTAAACATTAAGTTGTTCAATGCGCGAGTAAGCTCACCAAACATTCTCAACGTCAAAAACAACACAATTACAACCAATTAAACCAGATCGTGTACATACTGAATATATGAAAGTGTCAACAAACGAGCTTTGAAACCTTACAAATATATGAGAAGTATATGACAGGTATCAGAAAATGACAACGATATCACTCTTTTGAGAAAATAGGATTTTTTGAGCACGTTATAGCTTTCATGCGATATAATTTTTTTTCTAAGGTAAAGCTGATACCTGTAGCTACTTATGAAATAAGATGATGTTTTGTTTCGTTACTGATACTGCAATCTGTCAATAAAACAAGGCTGCAAAAACGATAACACATATAAAAATGTAAACACAAAATATTTACAGTGAAACCTCACCTAACGACCACCTCAAAATTACGACCACCCCGCTATTACGGGCACTTTTTTTCAGTCCCGTTTTTTTCCACTATATATCTTTGTATTGGTCGCTTCAGTATTACGACCACCCCGCTATTCCGTATTACGACCACTTCCTACAGTCCCAACGACCACTTATTAACGATAATTGACCTCACAATTACGACCACGGCCTGACCAGTGATTAAAGTTTACCTGGTGGGCAGTGAACCGCGGACATGTGTGTCGTTCACGACCATTGTTTTCGTCACGGGTTACCGACCCTGTCACCAGGTGGCGTTAAACGAAGTAAACATCATTATCGGATTAACTTGGCCTACCCGTCCGAAACCGCGTGCTAGACACATTTCAATAGCGGTCTGTTGTTTGTTAATTATATATTGATAGATCGGTAGGTTTATAAACACCTTAGAAGCCCTGCATACCCAAAAGTGAATTATGTAGTCGTTTCGGCCGATATTCCTTGGCTTGCACGCGCACACGTTGTCGAGGGTTTTTAACTGTTTTTCT